GCTGTCATTGGGTGACTGATCGGATCCAAAGCGATGCGTGACCCAAGCTGTTTGTTTAAATCAAGCACTCTTCTTCTGGTGGGGACGGCTTCGAGAACTTGTAAGCGGCGTTTGTTTGGACATGCTTCTAGAATCAATGTGTTTTCAGTAATATCAGATTGTGCAAATTTTTACGGTGGGTTTTGCGCATGTGCTGATCTGGTGCTTTTTTATTTTGATAATGGGAACCTTTGATTTTGATAAGAAGTTGATGGGCCGGATCCTTGTCGAGTGGTTTCAGGTTTGTAGACTCAAGATGGACCTAGCGTGCTGGTCAACCGGGCTGTTGGAAAAGCCGTTATTGATGAGCAATTGTTTGCACCTTTTAAGTTCGTTGTACGTGCTAGACCAGCTGGAGCAATATTTTAGAGCGTGTCGTTCAAACGAACGGATAACAGCTGTGCGACAACGCTCTGGGCACTTGATAGCAGCATTCATACATTTACAAGCATTTGCGGGTTTACCGTGTACTTTCACCACAAAAGTTCCGTTACTCGCATCCACGTCGATGTTACGAAATGGTAAACGTTTGACACTCAGGTCAGATGTATATGGTAACGCCGATTATCGCTGGATAGCGGCCTGCAGTTGGTGAACGTGGACCTCGTCTCTAACATCAAGAAATATGTCGTCAGTGCATCTGCAGTGTACATTGGACTTAGGGTTTAGGTTTTTGAGGTCATAGTTCTCCAGTTAGCAGATATAATATTAGCAAAAAAAATGTCTATATATATATATATATATATATATATATGCATTCACTACAAATATGTTGGGATGAACTTTCGCAGGACCAGGAGGAGCTCAGTCGCTCCGTGAGAGCGCTTAAGGCATTTAACCCCAAAACACGACGCCGGAATTTTTATTAACTGGATTTCAAGCATTCCGCACCTTGTCTGAACAAGACGATATCTTTTCTACGTATCAGGGAAAGCCTCTTTGTCCATGTTTCATCCATCGCATGCCGCAATCAGGCCATACCAACAACGTACGTCTATCGCAAAACACGCATGCTTTGGCGCTGTCTCTTACAGACTTGCCTTATCTTGTGCTGGCTGGTTTTAAAGCTGGATATGGTATACGTGGTACGTTATATCTTGTACTTGATGTGTTTCTGTAATACGTAACGTTGCCAGGACATCCAAGGCCACGTTGGACGAAATGTGTTACATTAAAATTGGCCACCTTAGAATGCATATGTGCTGCTACTAATGTGCTGCCTCCGATGTACCGCATCGAAAATGATCTTCGCTATTTCGGAGCGTGGTAGGACAAATTTAGGATCACAATACCCGATCTTTGATGCAGTTTGACGGGGGATGTTCGGCGGTCTTTACTTTGCTAACGCATCATTTATTTCCTGAGAAAGCCTCTACAAGCGTTTCTTGACTGGTGTGATCTGACATGACACGACCCGGATCGCGCCCACTCACCGCCTTCAGCGTCGGTTCACGATTCACCGCGCCAAGGGCTAAACAAAGCCGCTTTGCTCAATGGCAGCGCAGATCGCATGGACATGCAGCATAGCCTACATTATTCAACTTTACTCCGTGCCTGTGGTTTGTGAAATGTGCGCGTGGTGGTGTGGTGTCCATCCTGCGCTCAGTGGTGCATCGCGACGGTGACGCATGACATATGTTGTCCATATGCGTAGCATGCATGTATTTTGTCTCTTTATCACTCCGTTTCAGGATATGGCTGGCTTTTCCGCGGATGGTTCTCGAAAATTTACAAGCACTTGAAACTTCTGACATGCAAGTCCCCTTCGTTAAATGCCTTGGGTATTCTTTGTTTTGCCGCGATGCATTCGCATTTGTTACACAGCGTCGGGTGCGCCGTTACCAACTCGGCACTCACAAAAACTTGACAATTCGTGAAATAAAACATTATAATGACGTTAAGTTCTTTCATGGGTTGCCACGCAAATTCGAAACTAGTACTTAGTAAGTACTAAACAATGTAAGTAAGCAATGTAAGTACTACTTACATTGTTTCCCTTTAATAAAACACAATCGCTGGCATCGTTTCCAGAGCCAGATGTAAATCTTGACCCATGAGCGCTTTCCTGAAGTGTTACTACTGTAACAGTAACAATCGGAGGTATGCAAAGTGAAAAGTTGCTTAATCCATTGTATGTTCAATGGTTATCCCGATTTTAAGTCCTTTCAACAATACATTTCCGAAATTTTGGGCTTATGTGACGACGTTCAAAGGGCAATTTGAGCGCCTGTAGAACATATTGGTTCACTCGTTATCTTCCAGTTCGGCATCCGGTTGCGTTCCCGGTATATCCTTCTCTTCGTCTCATCCATCCTTTCGCACGTATATCAAGAAACATATCTCGCATTTGCCATATTCACACATCTGGCATAATGCACGTTCCAGCACCGCATTCGGCCACGCTACTGCTTTTAAACAAACTGTAAGCACAGACTCAGTTACATCCTTAATTAAAAGTAATTCCAGACACCAGTTTCCTATCACTGCTCATTCCCATCACACCCTCCCCGCCCCAGCCTTCTAACGAGCGCCCATCCCGCCCCCAAAACGGTCCGCTTATGGCGAAATGGTGAATTTGCCGCGAGCCGCGCGCCACGCTCATGATCTGACAGATAGCACCACAGGAGGACGAGCGGGGCGTACGCCGGGGGGGGGGGGGGGGGCTGGTGAAGGGATACGGACAGACTTTGACTGTTCAATTGTTCTGTTCTTCGATTTACATCTTGATGTCTTGAGATGTAGACTGCAGAAGACCGCTTGCTGCTGTCCCCTGAGCGCCGACAGGAGTGGCGAGCTGGCGAGGGCACCCGCCGAGCTGGCGAGGGCACCCGCCGAGCTGGCGAGGCCACCCGCCGAGCTGGTTCGATCCCAATTCGCCGAGCTGGTTCGATCCCGATCCGCCGAACTGGTTCGATCCCAATTCGCCGAGCCGGTTCGATTCCGATCCGCCGAGCTGGTTCGATCCCAATTCGCCGAGCTGGTTCGATCCCGATCCGCCGAACTGGTTCGATCCCAATTCGCCGAGCCGGTTCGATTCCGATCCGCCGAGCTGGTTCGATCCCAATCCGCCAAGCTGGTTCGATCCCGATCCGCCGAACTGGTTCGATCCCAATTCGCCGAGCCGGTTCGATTCCGATCCGCCGAGCTGGTTCGATCCCGATCCGCCGAGCTGGTTCGATCCCGATCCGCCGAGCTGGTTCGATCCCGACCCACCGAGCTGGTTCGATCCCGATCCGCCGAGCTGGTTCGATCCCGACACGCCGGGCTGGTTCGATCTCGACACGCTGGTTTTGTTCTCCTCTGCGGAGACAGTCTAGTGGCTCTGTCTGTGCCTGCTGAGCTGGCCTCTGGCGATTTCGTCAGCCGTTGCATGTTAACATGGTGACAGAGCCATTATGCGAACAAGGAAACATGCAAGCTTTACGCTGCATTTAACCTATCAAATATTCCAGGACTGCTCAACAATGACGTTTATCAGCCGCAGTTTAACGGGAGCTACTCGATTCCACTTTCCACTGAGCTCACTTTGCCTTCCGCTATGAGCATCAGAAATAACAGAAGCCTGTGGGGCCGGCAGAGAAGCAAAGGTGAGGAAAGCACCCGTCCGGCTAAGGTGAGGAAAACACCCGTACGGCTAAGGTGAGGAAAACACCAGCCCGGCTAAGGTGGGGAAAGCACCCGTCCGGCCAAGATGAGGAAATACCCGCCCCGCTAAGGTGAGGAAATACCCGTCCCGCTAAGGTGAGGAAATACCCGTCCGGCCAAGATGAGGAAAACACCCGCCCGGCTAAGGTGAGGGAAGCACCAGTCCGGCTAAGGTGAGGAAATACCCGTCCGGCTAAGGTGAGGAAAACACCCGTCCGGCTAAGGTGAGGAAAACACCCGTCCGGCTAAGGTGAGGAAAACACCCGTCCGGCTAAGGTGAGGGAGGCACCAGTCCGGCTAAGGTGAGGAAATAAACCGCTCGGCGAGGTGAGGAAGCATCTGTCCGGTTAAGGTGAGGAAATACCCGTCCGGCCAAGATGAGGAAAACACCCGACCGCCTAATGGTCGTAGAGGGAATTCGAAGCCTTCTGACTTCCCTGTTCAGCGCGTCGGGCGTGGGTACACAGCCCAAACTATAAATCGTGCATCTACCTACGTCATAGCTTTTTTGAACGTCACACATGGCATACTTTTGTTGTTGCGTGCATCATGCTTTTCGGCAGCTATCGTCGCTGCACACGGGGTTTGTCTTCTTCTTTCATCCACTCTCATCTCCCGTCTAGTCACCTTGGACAGACTTTCAGAAAGCCCAAGCGTTGCAATCGACGACTGGATAAGCGGTGCCCACCGCGTGGCCCGACGCGCTACGTGCAGCGAGAGCACGGTACCACGCCTGGGGCAATGGTTTGGTGTGTCAGGGGATATCGAGAATACCCCTGGGCACGGCGCAACCACCTCACGTGTTTCAAGAGAAGTAGACGACAGTGGTTGAAGGCGGCGAGGAGCAGCGGTTGGAGTGACGCGGTGGTGATGGCGACGGTGAAGCTGACTCATATGAACTGTTAGTGATTGTTTTAAAGTCAACCTGCACCGGTTATCTGTGCCTTGTGGGGTTAAAGCCTCGCCCAGCATTCTCAGACCTCGCGACTCGTCAGTTGTCATTTGGAACGTGTGGAGAAGGCGGGCGTTGCGTGTCATCATCAAATCACCGGGGTCCAACCCGAATCTCGCGTCTCACCATCCGAGCGGGGTTTCAGTCGGTCGGTGACTGCCGCAGGCGTCCCGGTAGTCAGTCCTGGGGACGTATGAGCTGGCGGGCGGCACTTCGTCCTCTTGGCCTAATTTAATTGCTTCCCCTCATCCTTTCCCTTGTCTCTGCCCTGCCACCCCCTCGTCTCGTCTCTGTCTCTGTCCCTGGCTTTTAACAACTGCCGGTTGACACAAATCCACGCTTACGCGCAGCTTGAACAAAAGTGTAGTCCAGTACACGCGGTTTCTTACGAAGATGTGCATATATTAACACACGACTTGCTGGTCGATGCAGATCGCGACAAATCACACGGGCCAACCACACACTAACCGGTCTCTGGCACGGGCCACCGCGCGCTGCTGCGTTCCGCGCGACCGCTCCAGGCACGCTGGTGTATTCCAGACTACCTGACTCTGCGCCGAAACACCGCGGGTGACCCGAGCCTGAGAGCCCGTATTGGTTAGCCGCAGACGCTGGTCCGCAGTCCACACCATTCGCGCGGGCTCATCTCACTTACCATGCAGTCAGACACCACGTTCTGCCCCAGAAAGGACAGTGGGGCGGTCCTTTACCCTATCTTACCATCCCGCTCCCCCACCTCCGGCTCTGCAGACGTGGACGCGAGACAACACGGCCCCGCGGTCACAAGACGGCTACATCTCCGGCACGTTCTGGACCGCGTAGGATACGTCATCGACGCTGATGTTGAGCCTGATCCTGGTCTCGAGATCGTGCCGCGCGTGCTGGGCGTGCAGCAGCCGGCAGGCGCACAGGCCCGACATCAGGCCGAACGTCTCCGACAGTGTCGGCGGGGTGATGCCTGGGACGGGAGACGACAGCATGTAACATGAGTGTGGCCCAGCCATCAGACAACGTTGGTGTGGTGGAGCAGGGACTATTCCCCAGATGACGTCACCGGGCACGTCAGACAGGGGCTAGCTGAAGGAAGACTGTGGAAGGTTAAACGGCTCCGGGTAACACAGAATGCCTGACGCCCAACGGTACCTGATCAAGGACGACACGGAAAGAGACGTTCCAAAGGAGAGCAGGCTGACGACACACAAGGTACGCCCAGCTGACTCCGCGACGGCAGACCCACCCACTGACAAAACATGACGCTCAGTGGAGCGTCTCAACCACGGCGTCCGCGCGATCTCCGGTAGGGGAATCGATCAGGGGCAGAGATCGATCCTCTCCCAGATGTCAGCCACCACCGACGTGGACAGCACGGGAGTCTGGGAGGCCAGACTGGGGTGAAAACAGGTACCTCGTACCTCTTCTCTAGCTACGTACTACTCGCTACCAACCACTAAATGCCACGAGCGCCGGCGTCCTCATACACTGCGACGCGGAGTGTGGTTTCTTAATGCCCGTAAGATCCCCGCGAAAAGGCTAATCATCTCGCACCCCCCTCTTAAATATGACAAACCAAACTTCCTGATCAGTCCTGTCATGCGGCAAGCCTAAAACATACAGGGATTCTGCATCGTAGTTAAAACAGTGCTAACGCAAAGGTCTATCAAAATATGGAAGTATCCATGGCGACATATAGCGCTGGGTGCCCACCTGCGTCCACCCCTGGTCCTGCTACGTCTTTACCACCCCTGGTCATCTGTAAAGTTTACACTCAACACGTTCCAAATCCCGGTAAGTTACACGTGAAAATGTCTAACATTTGCCGTGCTTCTACTGTAGCATGCAACTCGCCTAACCCCGCCGGACATTGCCGTCGCCGTTCCCAGCCCGGACAGTGCTAGGGAGTTGAGAAGCGGCGCCCACTGGACTAAAACAATACGAGTCCTGGAGTGGGAGAAGCTGCAGAAGATGGCAGGAAGAATTTTTCACCCGCCGTCAAACTTTGAAAAACCGACGAATCTATAAAAAACTCGGTTTAAGAGAATACTGGGGTAAAATCCTGGTTTTACGGTTTTGTGAGGTGGCGTCGATAACCCTGGTTTTTCTGCGAGGAGTAAAGCTATTACTGCTAGCTCATCTATGTGTGTAACGTTCCTCACAAATGCACTGACAACTTACGTACAGTACAACTACGTGTCATGAAGGAACGATCTCATGCAAAAGCAACTCACACTTGCTGCAGTATTCCAAATTTACTTATTCGACGACGCATTAGCTTATTTCGAGCATCTCGAATCTAGTGGTAACTGTCGCCGCTAATAAAGCGCGGCCTTTGTTTTGCATGGCATAGCTCGAGCAGCATCCGGGAACAGGCAAAGATGTGGGACGAGGATAAAAAGCAGTACAGAGCCACAACTTTCCCTGCGTGTAATGAAATGATCTGCAAAGGGCACAAGAAGCGCATGACGAGGTTTGTCACACCTTCACAGCCAGTGGTTTGTCACACCTTCAAAGCGGCAGACGGCGGCCAGCTGCTCGTAGACGCGTCCGAGTCGTGCCTCCTCCAGGCCGGTGCGCTGAAACTCGGCCACCACAGCCTGGAGCAGCGAACGGGCCAGCAGCGGACACGAGCTGAAAAACAGGCCCCATCCCGTCAGCCCGTCTCCTGAAACGTACCCCTTCCGATCACTGAACACGGGGCCTAGGTCATCGGTTCTAAATGTTTCGAACCACAAAGCAGGAGAACATGAGCCCTCACCGGCACAGGGAAAAGGGGAGGTGCGACAATACATCGATTTCGGGAGATTTTGCCTTACCTGCAAACTTCGGGAATCATCGAAACGTCCATGAACAGCGTATAGTGATCATATAATCCAAACTTACGACTCATGAAACGCGCCCCATGATCATGGGCGCTAAAATGGCGCATTCCTCACAAATCAGATGCTCTTTAGGTCTGCATTCTGGTTACTGGATCCAAAAGTAATTCGTGGAACAACACTAATGCGGCAAGGAAACCGTAATTAAGCAATCCTAACAATGCATGTGGTTTCATTCACAGCTCACAATACAAAACAGCAGGCAAATCTGGCAAGGGCCTTGCAGGGCCACCGCGCAGCCAGTGCCTAGTAACCAGGGATCCCCGAGGCCGCGGTCTGGCCACCGTGCAGCCACTGCCTGGTAACCAGAGATCCCCGAGACCGCGGTCCCGCCACCGTGCAGCCACTATCGAGTAACCTGAGACCTACGAGGTAGCAGTCCAGCCACCGCGCAGCCACTGCCTAGTAACCAGGGATCTCCGAGGCCGCGGTCTGGCCACCGCACAGCAACTGCCTGGTAGCCAGAGATCTCCAAGACCGCGGTCCAGCCGCCACGCAGCACCTGCCTAATGACCAGAGATCTAAGAGGCCGCGGTCCGGGATCGGAAGTTCCGAATTCTTCCATTTACCAACTGCCGAACACGTGCTGACACGGCAAAGTTCGCATGCTTAAACAAACCGCCCCAGTCCGTGCATAGTGGTAGTAATTGGGTGGCGTTGCACCAGATGACGTCACTCGTCGCCATGGCAACGCAAAGCACTCAAGGTATCTGTCCATCAGGTGATTTCCAAACCAACACTTCAAAACTGACAAGGAGGTAGCGATGTTTTCTCAATTTTAGACGTTATGAACGCTGTATACTATCAGCGCTGGATGTTTTGATTTCGAATGGTGCAAGCCTTGATGCTGACTTCCCCATCTCGGCACATTGGATAATACTTAAACGTTCTGAACGCTGCATGCTGCGATTTGGGGCGTCTTGAAAATTGGACGCTATGAACTTCGGATGTTTTAATACATATCCCTAAGTTCCACTTGTCACCAGGTCAGGCCATCGTTCTATACCTGCATGGCGAAAACGTAAAACACACACACACACACACACACACACAACCAGCTCATTTGCTCAAACTCATGCTCTACCACGCCGTACGCGGATATAGCAAGTTTCGTACCCCTGCCCAGGGAACAGAGGCAAAATACCGAGCACCGGCACCTCTGAATCTGTTTCACTCCAACACGAAAACCACGCGCGCCCATGCTGGAAACAGCTTAAGCTTCCTGGTAACATGGTAACCGCCGCTCTTACCGAATTGCCATGATCTTGGGCGAGGAGAACATCTCTTGGATCGCCCCATTGACGTGTTCCATGGTGACCAAAGCGGCAGATTTCTTTGGCGACGTGAGGCGCCGCCCCTCGGCGGGCCCTGTCTCCGCTAGTTCCGTGGCCCGCCGACAGATGTCCAGCGCCCGGCGAGCGTCCCCGGACACCGCCGCCACCTTCCTGTGCCAAAGCAGGAGCACGTGAACGGAGACGACGCAAAACCGCCGGTGAACGTCAAAGAAACGCCAGATCCATAGGTAAGAAAGTAGCTGCAAGGGCCCTACATAGTTAATTTAAACCTGTACGTAAGAAAGAAAATATGCTTCGGATCAATCACACTATCTACAAATTCCTGGTAATCGTCCACATATGACACTCGTTTCAAACGCCACAGCACATGGCAGGCAAGCGAGGTACAAGGCCAAGGGCAGCAGTTCGCAAATTCGACGTAAATATGCTTGCAGCCATTACTTTCACTGGCAAAATGCACAGCAGCCAGTCGCGCAGCGTCTGAACACAGCCCATGCCGACCTGGCGGTCTGGCTCTGAAGCGGTGTTACCTGCCCACCAGCTGGACGGCGTCCGGGTCAAAGGCGTCCAGCCCACTGAGCCGACTGGTGACGATCTCCTGCAGCTGCTGGAACGTGTACGGCTGGAAGGTCATCCTGGTCAGGCCCTGCCAGAAAAGGGGATGAGCTTACTCCTCAGAGGCAGAATGGCCAGGACAGGTCCTTGGTCAGCAGCTGAAATAGTGAACATCAGCCCTGATGACAGAAGGAACGGGTGCCTTTTATCACTCACGATCTCCCCATTTACAGCCCCAGTGAATTATACATATCCCATTCCTTCCACTTAAGGGTACGTAGCCCACTACAAGAAACCCGAACAGCTGCACAGGACACACTGATACATACTGAACACAGACCTAGCAGTCCACAGCCCCGTCGGACGCCCGGACGGGCCGCGCCCCAACTGACCAGCCTGCTGGACACCCGGTTCATCATGATGCGCTCGGGCAGGTCCCCAGCAGTCCACAGCCCCGTCGGACGTCCGGACGGGCGGCGCCCCAACTGACCAGCCTGCTGGACACCCGGTTCATCATGACGCGCTCGGGCAGGTCCATGGTGTTGGCGATGGCGACCACAGTCAGCTGCGCGTGACGCCGGCTCGGCCAGTCGAACAGGTTGTACAGCACGTTCTGCTTGCGGGTCCACAGCAGGTCCAGCTGCCAACGGAGCGGGTGGGCGGGGTGACGACAGGACTGGCTGCCCACGGAACCCACTACGCTCCACACGGGGTTCGAGCAGGTCTCAAACATACGGCTGTTATCATACGATAAGTTCCGCACATGGCTGCTGACAGAACGCATGCTAGCCTGGTGGATCCCTAAAATCTGTCTCATGGTTGCTCTGTCGTGAGTCAAAGTAATCACCACGAGCAAATCCGCACGCAATCGCGAAGTCCCGACCAGACGCACGAACACACCTCCACTGCCGCCGCCGCCCGGCGAGCCTAGCCACTCCCTCCTAAGACCCCCCGCCCCTCCCGGTCAGCATGGACCCCGGAGCACCCCGGCCCGCGCCGCCGGCGCTGGTGGAGCGTCTCACCTCGTCCACCATGAGCAGGATGGGTCGGCGGCGGCCGGCCGGTGCCGAGAACCGCTTGTCCAGCATCTGAGCGGCGTGCTCGGGCACGGCCTTCGTCCCGGTCAGCTCGGCGATGATCTGGCTGTAGACACGCTCGGGGCCCGTCAGCCGCATCCCGTTCACCTCGATAAACTGCCGACAGATGGCGGGCTGGTCACGGCGCGGCCCGGCCATGGACGGCCCCGGTGTCTTAAGACGTCTCACCGCGAATCCAGACGGCCACAGCGGACGGTGCGGCCCATGCATGTTCCCCAGGACTTTTGATGGCGTCATATTTTGGATGGCGAGCTCCATTACAGCCATCAGCATGCAGCTATAAACGTATTTCGTCCATACGAACAGCGAACAGCGGAAACAGACAACCCTCTTCAAGCGGCAAAACGCGCCAGCACGGTCGGCGCCACAGCCGGCGGGACAGACCTGGAAGTCAGGCAGGTGGCCGGCGTCGCTGGCCTCGCGCAGGCTCCTCACCACCTCTCGCATGGTGGCAGTCTTCCCCGTGCCGGGCACGCCGCTCACGTACATACACCTGCGACGGCCGCGCCCGTCAGTGCGCATCGGCCGGCTGCGACCAGGTGGCCGTCTGAGCCTCCTCGGCTGGCACTTGTCGGGAGACTGTGATGCAAAACGCGCGCCACAGCACCAAAAGCTGCACGATTAGGGGACCTCTGGAGACATTTTGCACAACTGTTTTGCGCACGCACGCTTGTCCACAACCGAATGAGTTCCCTTACGACAGATGTTCCACAAGCAGTGACGAACGACAGTGAAATGAATCGCGATAAAGTGAAATGAACTGAATGCAGTCCAGCTGCAGCACTCACCCGCCAGTTCTGTCGAGCAGACGCGCCTCCACGAACGTGTAGATGTCGAAGAACTCGTTCTCGCGGCAGGGTAGCGCGTCCGGCACGGCGGCCACGTGCAGCCGACTGCGCGCCTGTTGCAGCGGCGTGCCGGGCGTGCTGAGGCGGCCGGCGGCGCGGCTCGGCACCAGCGGCGTGCCAGCGGCCTGGACGCGGGACCAGCCGAGTGGTCAGTGCGCTCTCAGTGGCACGGCCCGAGGCGACGTGCAGGAGGGGCCGCCTGCTTCCAAGGCGTGTTGCGGGGAGAGATTATACATGCAGACACTGACGCCTGGTCACGACATGGCTGATGGGTGATACCACAAGAGGACGTTTCTACGAGCACATGATGAGAAAATCACCAGCAAAATTACACGACCGTATAATGTGAAAAAAACATATTAGAACTCAAGCAGCCGGAGTGAAAAAACTGCACCAGAGCTTCGGTCGCCCTTTAAGACAAAGCGCATTTTGCCCACTAGAACTTCCGTACCCTTTAAGGCAAGGCGCATACTTCCGAAGTGGAAAGGTCGGTGTTATGGAGCGCGCGCACCATCTCATCCCATCCGGCGCATCACCAAGCGGGTGTCATACCTTCGGTGTGCGGGGCGAGGCCGTGGCCGAGCGTGCTGCGTAGCCCGGCTTCCTGGACGGCGTGGCCGGCGAGGTGCCGCGGCCGTGTCCCGCCGCCCAACCCCGGGCCTTGCGCGGGGTCGGCTCGGGCGAGCTCTCCCCACCCTGTGACATCTTCTCCCTGGACATTCTGCCGGTGGCGCGGCCCCGGCCCCTGCCCCGGCGCGGGGTCGGCTCGGGGGAGCTCTCCCGACCCTGCGACGCTTCCTCCCCCTCCAACTCGTCGTCGCTGCTGAGTGCAAGGCGGCGTCTCTTGGCGCCGGTGCTGTCTGCCTCGAACAGCCGCTTGTGCGGCGGCCGGGCGGGCGAGCGGCCGGCGCCGGGAGACACTTCGGCGCCCTCTGGCACCGTGCTGAGGCTGGGCCGGTGGCGCAAGGAGCGGCGCGCCTGAGCCAGCTGAGCCCCGGCCGCCGCTGGCCGGCGACACGCTCCCCCGGCGCATCCGCGGCGTGTTCGCGCTGCAGGTCTCTTGCTTCGCGGCAGCAGGCGTGTTTTCATTGGAAGAGCGTGGCGTTTTCTGTTGCGCAGCCCTTGGCGTGCTTTTCTTGGAGGAGCGTGGCGCTTCCTGCTTTGCCACGACAGGTGCGTTTCCCTCGGAAGGAGAGAGGTGTCTTCTGCTTCGCGGAACGAGGTGTCCTTTCATGGGATAAGGTGGGTGTTTCTTGTTTTACAGTCCGACGCGCGTTTTTCTGGGAAGACCGGGACCTCCTTCCGCTTCGCTGTGCCTGGCGTATTTTCCATGGAAGAGGTAGACTGGAAAACGACGTAAAGCATTACCAAACGGCAAAAAGAAAAAACACGAAAAAAGACAAAGAATCCGTGCCAAGAGAGAAAAAGCGACATTACCGTGTCTGTCATCAGACCTACAGTTAAGTACATACTAACTTGCCCCCGGACCACCGGAGCCGTGGCACTCCAAACCACCCCTAATACCTTTCGCGTCCGAGTCCCTGGGCGTTCTTCGCCTCCGCATCGGAGTCTGCATCGCTGCTCAGCGTCTCGTGTTTGACCTCCGTATCAACTCGAGTCAGAATGAGACGTAGCTTGTTCGGTGAGACGTGGGTGACCTTGACAGCACCATCGTCCAGCCAGCTCGCCTGCAATAGCACCGAGGGCTGTGGTGGCGCGGAGGGCAGACACTGGCGGGGGACGGCAAGGTGAGCAGGTCACCGCCGGCACAGCGGCCATCCGTCGCGTACTGGCAGCGTGCGATATTGGACGGAAGTCTGGCTATCGCTGTCATGGATCAGGTCAAAGGAGTGAGCTTACTTATCAATCAGTGGGCAAGTGGTGAAGCAGTAACGCTTCTATATCACAAGAGCCAAGTAATGTTGTCCACTTCTGCCAAAATACAGTGCTGACAGCGCGGTAAAAGCACCACTGAAAACATGAGCCTGCCCGGTCATTCCCACTAAGCGGAATCACACGCACAGATTCGTTATCAACACGACAACTTCCCGACACAGGTCACCAACTTCCGACACGAGTCGTTCGGATGAGTTTTTCCGTGTGGTACCGAACGTGCAACACTGCGTCCAGCCTCATGAATCGCCTCTGACCACGCTCCGCGGCTGATAGCGTGCGCACAAGCTCCATCCAGCCCTCCGGCCTCGGCCCAGCGCCGCCGTCAGCCAAACAGCGTCAGGTATCGGGCTGGGCTGCCCCCCCCCCCGCGCGCCAGACGCACCTTGCCGTCGATCAGGTCCTTGTACGAGCGGATGACTCTGTGACGGCTCGTGTGCCTCGCGCGCTGGCTGGAGGCCCGCCCCGGCGTGCCGCCGTCTGGAGGGGACACCAGGCCGACGTCACATACACACATCAGCTGCGGTGTTACCGCGTGAAAACGCGCAGGGGTAGCGACTCGGGTTGATTCGGAGTCAGCATGGAGTCGCATGGAGTCAGCATGGATCGTACGGGGTCAGCAGACCTCGGGCTGTCCACTCTAGACAGCCCGATGTGCCACACCATGTCGTGACGGAAATAGGGAACATATTGGTTCTAATCAAAATTGAACGTTTATGCAAAATTAAAAAGGAGCACAGTGATGCGTATAAAGGCATTACAGTAACACGTTAAAATGATTTATTTTCATTACAGATGCTGAATCTCCGATAAACAACGGGGCAATAACATCGCCGCCTACAGTCCACTGTTAATGCCTGATGACATGAGGTGTTCTTTGTCCTTGAATGAATTGCTGAAGTTCGGTAGCGGATTGATGTTGGCCATGCTGTAAGAACGTACAAGTTAAAATAGGCCATGATTCAGGGAAAATCCTAATCGAAATACCCTACAATGTTTGGATTGTTGTGAGGTCAGTGGTCACCTCCAGCCCGACACAGGTCACCAAGTGAGCGACCCAACTGTGAACGTCTTCACTGATGAACGCGATATCAGATCGGCGGGCATCCCCAGTGACACGCACGCCAGTGCGAACAACGCACGTGTCACTTGAAGTTTTAGAACGTGACCTGACGACAACCTAATGACCTGGCGACTCCACAGGTCAACGGTCACCCTGGGACGACGGTCACCGGGCCAGTCACCACGCCACGGCCGCGAGGTCGGCTGCGCACCTCCACGGCCGCACTGGACGCGGCTCACCGAGTCCGAGGGTCAGCACGTGTCCCGACTACAGGTCATCACACCAGTCACCACGCCACGGCCGCGAGGTCGGCTGCGCACCTCCACGGCCGCACTGGACGCGGCTCACCGAGTCCGAGGGTCAGCACGCGTCCGACTACAGGTCATCACACCAGTCATCGCCGCCGGCGGGCTCCTCACCATCGGGCGTGCCGGCCGACTGGCGGCGCCAGGCGTGGCCCGGGGTGGCGCTCGCCGGCTGGCGCACGGGGCTGCCCCCGGCGCCGGCCGGCAGCAAGGGTCGCAGGCGGGCGCCGCGGCCCGCGCCCTCCAGCAAGAACCGCGCGACGAACAGCGGCAGCGGGGGCGAGGCGGGCGCCGGCACCGCCGTCGGGTCACGGTCGGCAGCCACCGTGCACACCTGGAACGGACCGCCGTTGGTGACCTGTGCCGGGCGGAGAGCGTGCAAACCTTCACGTTCATAGCATTCAGGGGGTGTCATCAGTCTCCCACAACACTTACTTAACGGAGTCACTAAATAAGGCCCTGGTCAAGTCCAGGAAGGCACACATGCTGAATCAGCCACATTGCAGAAATCAGTACCCAAGTTTAACTTTAACAAATGTAAGACCATCAACACTCCCTTTCCACGAGTCCACTCCGCACTGACCTGGCACTGTCCCCAGACGGAGCTGACCCGGACTTCAGCACTGTAGGGCCGGGCGTCCAGCACCACCTCACGGGCGGCACAGAGCGGCGGCAGGGCGCGATCCAGGCTCCGCCGTGCGGGCGCCGGCATCGCGCCCGCCCGCGTGTACCACTGCACCGACATCCAGGCCGGGTCCGTATCATCCGGGTCCCCTGCCGCCGAGGGAGGCGTGAGGGGAGGTGAAACACTGACCTGATCACCTGGCACCAATGGAGGGGGTGGGACACTGTCCTGGCCTCCTGCCATTGGGGGAAGGGTGAGGGAAAGTGAAACACTGACCTGGTCACCTAACACCAACAGAGGGAGCAGGACACTGTCCTGGTCCCCTGCTGTTGAGGGAGATGTGGCAGATAAGGGAAAGTGTGAGGCACCCACCTCGTCTTCTGCTGCAGAGGAGGAGAGGAGTAAGGCACCACATGGGTTCACCGCCACAGAAGGGGACAGGCCATCTTTATCTGGGTCCACTGTTATCAAACACAAGGAAACATAAGATGACCATGACTACCACCAGGCTTAGATGTATACCTGAGTCATAGAAACTGCGGACTTCAGCGATTTCACAGCCATCTTCATTGTCCTTGTCACCAGCAGACAGGTCTGAGATTAACACATAATCACCCAGGGAAAGCGTCAGCTTCCCATACTGGCAGCACCTGGGGGCATACATAAGAAATGTGTTGGCCACATCTGGTTGGTCACACTCAGGTTATGACATTGAACACCCTGGAATGTGATGACAGTGACTGGGCAAAAAGTGTTTGACATCAACAGAGCAGCATTAAAGCTATTGTGTCATTTTCATAGCAATTGGCTTTTCATCACCCTCCTTGACTGCTAGTTGCAGTTGTAAGAGGGCATGAAATAAGATTGAATTCAGAGTAATCAGAACTAGCTGAAACACATCAAGTTGGCAAACACTCCATAAATGGACACATCCTCTACTGTAGATAAGCATGCAGATAGCAACATACCAACAAGTACCTGTAATATGTTCTGGAAAAACGAGAGGAGCTAGATGGAGGTGATATATCCTTCTCCAGCCATTGGAATACTATCACATTGAATCACCATGGCACCTGGAACATAACATTTTGTATCACATGTGACATTAACACATACTAAAACTATTGAATATAACTGCAATGGTCAGTTAGCATGGCAGCAGCAGATGGCAAAGCCTCCAACATTGTGAAGAGAGTGAGTCAAAGTTGGGACAAAATGCACTGTTTAATATACTTTGGAGCAGATTTTACCATTCTCACAACCAACCCCATGCCTTCCATAACTTATTTTGTGAAAGTCATCCCTCTCCAATATGAACCCAATGTGCATCATCTTTTACTTGTTTACAATGAGCAGCAAGGGCTATTTATTGGAGCAGTCCCTGAGGGTCTCCAGGTTAATCTGGACAGTCAAGTTTGACACCAACAGGGGTCCAGATAAACAATGGCAAAGCTTGGTGCCCTCTGCAAATAACTGTTTCGTTACATTTGCCCCAACCTAGGATTGAAAAATGGTAAACAAGATTGGCCTAAAGATGGATCCCAACTAGATTCCACTTGTAAATCCCACCCACTCAGAATATGAATCATGGCTTTCCACCCTTTGGCATTAGACAGTGAGGAGACCCTTGATCAACCATAGAAGTCTGTTCATGACAACACACCCTTGGCTGAAGCCACAAGATCCCATCATCTCCTGCTGGTGGTGGGCCATCTTTCTCAGACAACTCCAGAAGCTGGGTTTAACAGGACCACCTCAGTAGAAACCTGTGCTTTACTGTGTGGGGAAGGGTGGATTGTCATGTTATAGAGCAGTCTGTTTCCAATGAGTGATTCTTTAACCCTTTGTGGTATTTTTGCTTCCTTTCAAATGATGCAAAGTTTATTGTGATCTTTAATTAAGTCCATAAAAAGAGCCATGCACATGCAAATTTCACTGTCACCTAAATGTGGTCATGCAACAGCTTGCTCATTGCAGATGTATATTGCTTATATGGTGATGTAAACAGTCCATATCTTTCTCAAACCAAACACCTTTGCCATTCTCCATAATTCTCACTAAGCACCATATAAGTTCACAAGGATGGCTTACTGATAGGTGAACATACCATGCTAGGCATGTTGATGCTTTGCTGTGAAAAGTTCAGCTCATGGTTAAAGAAAAATTCCCAGCATTCCAGAAGCTAAATGAAATGTGTATACCAACCTTAGTTTAAAATACACGAGTTCAAGCACCGACAATACGTCTACCCACCTACCTACCTAGCTGTCCAACATGCACTATATGTTTACAGAGCCAGAACAAAACATGTGCTTGTGGCCCTGAAGACCTTGAAAATGTTACCCAAATTGTTACAAACATTTCACACGAAACACACATTTACAGGAAAACGCAAGCCCAATACACATACCAAGCTTTCTTTCAGATGGTCAACCCGCGGATCAGTATTCACCGCAATCACACGACAAATACGACACGCCTAGAACTACGCAAACTGAAGAACCCGCGCACGCCGCTTCCAGTTCGGTGCTGTGCAGCTCCCGCGGTTCCAGCTCAAAGGTGCCATATCGAGAGCGCTGCCATATTCAAGGACACGAAGCATTTTACGTACGTAGATTCGTCAATGATGGTAGTTGATCACAGTATACGACAACGATCTTCGGCCCAACGGAGTAATTCCAGCCAAACCCTCGGAGTCAGAGGCGCAGACAGGGAGGGGAGGAGGTAGAGGGGACACGTGCGCCCTGTTGGTAACCGGGGGCATTTCGGGACTTATTGCGAATTGAAGAGCCAGGAGCGGATCTAGCCTAGTTGTTTTTTTTTGTTTTTTTTGGGGGGGGGGGGCGAGGGGGCAACCGTTCGTCGCCAGCTGGCTGGTGTGGGATCCAAGGTCCAGTGCATGATGTCTTTCGCGAGTACCTAGTGGGGACACCATTCAAAACCGAAAAAAAACACCGAAATGCTTTTGAATCTTAAACAGAATTTAAAACAAAACAGCTAAAACAGTTAAAGTTAAAACAGACGGTAGGCAGACGAAACTTTTATGGAATTCTGAGAATGTTTTGGGGGGGGGGCAAAACCCACTCTCAGAGGTTTTGGGGGCCATGGCCCCGTGGCTCCCCTCCCAAGGATCCGCCTATGTTAAGGGCCCGAAATACTGGCCGAAGGTCGTATTCAGAGGCTCCGGCCCCCGGGGCCTGGCACTCTAATGCAAGCTTGAAGGCCCTACGCGCTGATCAGGGTCCCCTGAGTCGACGAGGACCTATACGTTCATCAGACACCACCAGTGACGCAGTCGGCTCGGTGTTGGCATGAACCTGAGGGTCCATTTCCCAAGCAGGGACAAAGCCGGAGCCAGCGATTTGCATGGTTAGGGCCACAGCGTTTGTCAGGGCCCCACAGCGCTTAGCAGGGGCTATGTGTTGACAAGGACCCCAGAGGCAGAGGCAGATTGTAAGAGGGCCCGAAAGGTATTGAGGGACCAACGAGACCGACGAGCAGGGATGCTCGCTATTTGAAGATATTGGACCAATCATATGTTCAGGTAGCCTCACCTTCAACTATGGCCATACCTTTAAGTGGAAAGACTGCTGTAGACAACATAGCCTAAGTAATTTTGTCTCATCAATGCGTCTGTTTGTTTACGTTCATTTACATTGGTATTACCGCACCATTATAGATGTCACTCCTAAGCCCACACGGCCGTACCTGCGCGGGCTACACCAGCTAAAAATTGGTGCCTCTGAACCGCAAGAGCTGACAATGGCCATCGGCAGACCCTGCCCGTCATGGCGACGGCACTCGTCGACAATCGCAGAGATTAAGGAAGATGCGTAGCGCCGTTGCAAAGCGCTGACAGCGCTATCTGGATTCAAAAAGTAATTGATATCCCTACACATTAGCGGTGCTTTCGTGGCACCGTCCAGTGACACACAACACAGCCGGCTCTGAGTTTTCCGAACACCGTTCGATGTCACCAGAATTCTCGCAGCCTGCATCAACACACCCATTTACAGGGCACCGGATCCACAAACATCCACCAGCGCATTCCGGCATTTATTCAACCATCAACATAACTCCAGCTCTCAGCTAGCGGATAACAATAGACGCGTTCTCCTATTAGGTCTTAATCACACACTCCCCACTTCAATGGAAAATTAACATCTCCGTGGGAACCCAGGCCGACGTAGCACCTCCAGCCTGGCTCAGGCGAGCCGACACATCCGCCGAGCCTCCGGACCGTCTCCTTCCCCGGGCCGATAGTCAGGATCGACCATCGGCTGCCTGTGGGGACGGGACCACTTCGTGGCCACGTAACCGTGGACGTCGAGCGCGTTAGGAGGCTTGGCACGACCACACGACAGGCCGATCCAGCCCAGCCAATCCCCACGTCTCTCCCCTCCTCCCCCGACACCAGCTCCACCGCACCGTGATGACGTGTCGCCACCACCTGTCGAGGCGGTGGCACAAAAAGCCCGAGGTCCATAGCCTGAAGCAGCCTCAGTCTGAAATCCATCTTTGGCATGCCTGTGGACTGCACACTGGCTCACCTGGTGGGCCTCGCGCAGAAGCGCCGCGAAATTCCGCACTACATAGTTTCATACATTTCACCGTAGACTACATGCGATTGCCGAAGGACAGTGTCAGTCGATGAATGTTGGATGTTCCGTGTTGGAGTCACAGTTAACGGTGCTGTTCCCTTTTATTGTTTTGTGACAACGGTGTTTTCCTCCCAGATTTGGCGGTACGCTACCTTCCCTATTCAAATGTGTGGCCGACGCACTGCCGATGTAAACGCTAGCAAGTGTTTTTGGAAAGACACACTACCTTCTTCAAATGACATGATCTCTCCAGAAGTCTGGTTAATATAAAAACATGGTTGGTGATGGACAAACGTCTCAAGCCACAAACCGACTGGGTGCCGAACCATCCCGGGCGCAAGAATATCGAAAGGCTAATGTACAGCGATACGGTACAGGACACAATTCCAACGCTGCATCCAGCAACTTCGGAAACAAAATCGAACTAACATATCGGGTCCATTAATGACAGCAGCGAGTACGACCTCAGACGCGTCCCAGCGCAGCCAATCACAACACGGCTGTGCGGCGCCGACTCAGGTGACCAGCCGTCGTGAGGAGCAGACCCGGACGCACGCCCGGTGTCGGTCCTCGGAGACGGCTGGGTAGCCTGGAAGTCGAGCATCGCTCGGCCGAGTCCCGCCAGCGGCTGCAAGCGACCGAGCAGAGGCGGCGCACAGCATACCTGTGCGAAACAGCCGAAGGTCACGACACAGCACAAGACCGACCACATCGGCGACTACAACCAGATGTCAGACGGCAGCCAGTGATCTACAACAGTGGGCACAACAGTGGGTTCAGCCATTTCTGGCTCTGTTGTGAGCTCCCAACCTCGGCATATAGCTAAAATTCATCATAGTTAATTATCACACACAATGTAGTGATCACATATTCCTCTTACCACAACAAGGCGGTTTCATAAACTTGCTCCAAGCAGACTGGTGCTGCAGTGCCGCAAGTGCCACGGGTGGTATACATACATCAACCTGGAGATACACGATGCCAATTAGCTTGTGCCGCTGCTTCAAATAGCCATTGCTCACAGCATTGCTCAGACAGCCAAGGGAAACAATGGTATAATCACCAAGATCATACATTAAACAGTATCATCACATGCGAGGACCATGATCACCAAGTGCTCTAGCCACACTTACCTCTCATGCGGTCCTGACCAAGTGAATTGACACTTGGGTCAATGACGTTTCAATTGTTCTGGCTAGCCGAGCAACGGTGCCGAACGCAGAATCAGATGGGCGGGCATCCCACCTGCGAGTGAAGTGAATGGATCAAGGACACAGCATGAGGAGCAGCCAGAGGTGCATGCCACATCCATTCAGACATCAACCAATGATCTACAACAGTGGGCACAACAGTGGGTTCAGCCATTTCTGGCTCTGTTGTGAGCTCCCAACCTCGGCATATAGCTAAAATTCATCATAGTTAATTATCACACACAATGTAGTGATCACATATTCCTCTTACCACAACATGGCGGTTTCATAAACTTGCTCCAAGCAGACCGGTGCTGCAGTGCCACAAGTGCCACGGGTGGCATACATACATCAACCTGGAGATACACGATGCTAATTAGCTTGTGCTGTTGCTTCAAATAGCCCCTGCTCACAGCATTGCTCAGACAGCCAAGGGAAACAATGGTATAATCACCAAGATCATACATTAAACAGTATCATCACATGCGAGGACCATGATCACCAAGCGCTCTAGCCACAGTTACCTCTCATGCGGTCCTGACCAAGTGAATTGACACTTGGGTCAATGACGTTTCAATTGTTCTGGCTAGCCGAGCAACGGTGCCGAACGCAGAATCAGATGGGCGGGCATCCCACCTGTGAGTGAAGTGAATGGATCAAGGACACAGCATGAGGAGCAGCCAGAGGTGCATGCCACATCCATTCAGACATCAACCAATGATCTACAACAGTGGGCACAACAGTGGGTTCAGCCATTTCTGGCTCTGTTGTGAGCTCCCAACCTCAGCAAATGGCCAAAGTTCATCATAACTTAATCACACACTCATTGTAGAAAAACAAGCTCCTCTCACCACAAGATGGTGGTTTCCTCAGTGGTGCCTCCCTGCAGACTGGTGACTTGGGATCACTGATATGTCCTCAACATTCTGACTGACCAGGGCAGGCAATGGAGAAGCAACTCCTGTCTGCAATCATGGCTGTCACTAAACCAAACATGAGGTGAACTGGGGCCAGCAAACGCACACAAGGCCTATGCAATGGGCAACAGTGTGAGCACCAGCAGCAATAACCATAGCCCACCCATTATGCAAACAATATCAATTACCTTCAGGGCAAACAAATGGTTTTTCAAATGGGTGCATGACACACCCACTCAAACAACTCAAACTCATCATGGCTGAATACTGAGCAAGACAGTGTAACCACTCATTTACTTACAAGTGGAAAATTTCCCCAACTTGGTCAAATGCAGAATGTTGACATATGCACCAATGATGATATAATGAAGACATCTGGAGGACCGAATAGCGAGTAGAGGCCTGGGGAAACCAGACTTCAATTAGTTTGCACCAGTGCTACAAATAAGCTCTGCTTAGGACATGCTCAGACAGCCAAGGGAAACAGTGGTATAATCACAGATGTCATCCAATTAACAATATCATCATATGTGATGGTCATTACACAGATAGATATACAAAACAGACCATCATACCTGAGTTTGCAATCATTCAGAGACTGATGTGACTTGGGATGATCCACATGCAGCACTGCCTCCATTCCGTGGTGACAGCAGCGGAGGTTACGTGCCCGACCTGCGATCAGCAGACAGTAATGCAGACATGCATGGCAGGAACAGCTGCAGTGAATGGCAACTAAAACTGTGAAACATATTTGACATTGTAACCCTACACTCAAACATCCTGATTCACTTTTGGGAGTGCCCAATGGCTCATGATGCATGGGCCAAACTTGTCAGCCATGCCACAAACTTACTGTATGCCAACAGGCATTCAATAGCAGAGCATGGGTATGTTCAATGACCAAACACAGGAAATGCAGGGGTGGCACATGCCGTGCCACATCAGACAAGTGGTCCAGTGACCAGTGATCTATAGCTGCATGCACACAGTGATATCAGCCTTTTTGGCTCCTGCACAAATCCCAAGCCTCTGCAAATGACAAGATTTGCCACACAAGCTGGCAGTACAATGCCATGTCAACAAGAGACATCACATATCAGTCACACAGCTCACCGTGCCATTGGTGAATGATCCCCTCCATGTGAGAAACTGAGGATGCAGACAGCATCAGGCTTCATTCAGTTCTCTCGATGTTGGCTTCCTGAAAAATGAAACCTGTGCATAGGTGGATTGTCCTATGAATGACAGCAACACTACCCACCTTCCAAATGTTCCACTAAGTATTGAGCCAATTTACAGCAAACAATGACCAAAGCTTGCCACAAACTTGCATGCCAGATACAAAGCACCCAGCAATACAACAAAGAGCCAGATGCTCGAATACTGGTCAAAAATATGGGTCACACAATTTGACACTCATCAGGGACACATTGCAAACACTAACAAGGTGCACCATGCTCAGAAAACTCACCCTCAGCAGTTCACGCCTGTCTGTGCTGACACCCCGTACTCCTTCATGCCACTGATCACAATGAAAACACACAACTGGACGATGCCAATATATTGGGATCTAGGCCGCGGCCGGTACGGTCACCAGATATGCGGCTGAAGACCCCGTCCCAAGTAATGACATCGGGTGCCGACAATGTCGTCACGCGCAGGGCTCTAGTCGAACAGGCTGAAGCCCAGGTTATCATCCGACTCGTCGGACTCCTCCTTCGCCGGGGCGGCCGCGGCAGCGGGGGCAGCCTCCGCCACCGGGGCAGCAGCAACGGCCGCGAACTTGGACGGGTCGGCCAGGTAGGCCTTGACCTCCTCCGCCTCCTTGAAGGTGATGTCCGTCTCGGCAGCCACTGCCAGCAGGTTCTTGAAGCCGTTGATGATGGAGTGCGGCACAGAGGCGGCGGTGGGCACGCCAATCGAGATGGACACGGCAGCGACGTTGCGGACGCCGCTGAGGAACGAGGCCACGATGTCGTCCGTGGTCAGGTCCAGGACCCTGGGGTCGAACACGGTGCCCGAGTCGTACACCTTCTTGACGACCAGACCATACGAGAACGGAGAGATGCCCAGCATGTTTAGCAGCGTGGCCTCCGAGCTGCCAACCTTGTCCCCCTCCATGATCAGGTTCACATCATTCTGGAAAAAAAATGAGGCACACAAAGATTTAACCACACTGCACAGCAAGCTGTGCCCTCTCATTCCCTAATATTGAGTGGAAAGCTAGAACTAATGAAAACAATCTTCTTCAAGCCTTTGAATGCAATTCTCAGGTAAAATGGATGAAAATTCAGTGAACTTCTGACATAATTCTCAAATGCTTACAAACAGGGAAAATAGTGCTGCAAATACCCCTGCATTGAGATAACAAGAAATTCTTCAGTTTAATTTCAGCTGTTGACCAAAACAAATACTCAGTATTTGAGTAGTGTCACACAATTGGCCACTCACGATAATTTCAATGGTTCCCTTGGAGATCTTGGTGGCAATAGAGAGGGCCTGGAAGAAAGCAGTCTTCTCGGGTCCAAGACCGGTGTTCTGGGCTGGCACCACCACGTTCAGAGGGGCGATAGCTCCCACACGGGCTGGGGCTTTCACCTGGAATCAGGGCACGGTTTTGTAACTGACAACACTTTACATTCAGGTTGCATGAGGCAATCCTGATGCAATTTTGAGTGCATACACAAGTCTTAAGTAGCTAAAATATGTAAGAATGCACACACACATGCACATTCAAATTGGCTCCCTGTAAACATGAACAACGCAATTGATGAAAAACTATTCTGACTGAGACTACATTTACATCAATTTGATCACTGCCGATCTTTTTCAAGATTGCCCATGCCCAATCTATGCAATACCAACTCATCCACAGACAACCAAATGCAGCAGCCATCAATCGGCTTCATCTAACTTTGCACCACAATATGGAGATAGTGGAAAACAGCTCCATAGGTGCAGCAAATGCAGTGCAGTGTCCCACCTTATTGCTGAGCAGCTTGTCGCGGACATCACCCAGCTCTTCACGGGTGAAGACAAAGCCGACATTTTCAACAATGTGTGGCAACAGCTTCTCCAGATGGGGGTTGGAGTCCAGCTTTCCCTTGATGACCTTGCGCATCATGGTGTTCTTGCCCATGACGACCGTGGCCGACCCGCGGAGTGCCATGCGGATCTGCTGCATCTGCTTCGAGCCGACATTGTCGGCACCGACAATGAAGCACTTGGGGTATTCATCCAGACAAGCAGACAGCTTGCTGAAGTAGTTCTCCTTCCATTTTCTCCTGTCCTCCCTGACCATCTTGCTGGTTCAAGGATTGTGCTTTTAAGGACTGCAAAAGAAGGAAGTGTGAAAAACAATTCCATGCATTTCAGTTTCCTTACAGGCTCATGGTGGCAATTTGGTTTTTAAGGGCGCGTCGGCATCGGGGCCATTTTGCGCCCACTCGATGACGGTTATCTACCTCTGCGACAATGCGATAAGTGTGTTGTCAACTAATAACAGGTAGTATCACTGGCGCACTTACGCTGAGGGGTGAGTGAAAATAATGTCAAAGTCAATGTGTGCTAAAAATGTGAGTACATCTCCAAGTTCATCACATGGGTCTAGACCAAGTAACCGATGAAAGGGCGCTGGAAGAAAAACCGTCGCCTCCCCATCTCAAGGTGTTGGCATGAGACGAGGACATGTTCTACACACAATCGGTCCCCGCATCTGTCACACCGTGGCACATCCCTAAGCGTCAAGTAAAACGAGTGTGTTGCATATGTGACCCAACCGAAGCCTGCAAAGGGCGGCTTCCTGGAAGCGGCTTCGGCGATGGGAGGATTCCCAATCGCCCAGTTGGGGCCTTACAGGATCATATCATGTCCTACCCTCAATATAACAAAGAAATGTTTGTATTTCCAGCATTCCAAAAATCATTCAGTTGGGTATATGGGATGTAAATATATATTCATGCTACAAGAATCTTGGCTTTCCAGCAGCCAGGCACACAATTGGCTGGTGCCAACCAGTTGTCCCTTGACCCCTAGTAGTCCCAAGCCAGGGTGCAAGATTATTATAAATATCAACATCTAAGCTGCCCATATGGCCAAATATTGTGCATAAGTATCATGTAATGAGTCCATGAAAACTGTAAAGGATAGTCAAGGATACATAACATTCATCCAGTTCAATAAAGCTGAGTAGGAGTACAATTTGTTTACATGGCACCGACCTATCCATACAAATGCATTGCAGAAGCAAAATGTTCCTTTTTAAGATTCCAGCAAGTAATGCATCTCAATGTGTGGCCAAAAACCAGGTGCCTAGTCACAACAGACATGAGGGGCATGCTTAACAGCTGGAACCCCTTTCTGACCTCATTTTCACACTCAATTGTAATGCAGCATTCATGCCATTCCAACACCTGATTGTATGCTTCTTTAGAAAGATCAAAAGGATTATGTCTAAATAAAGTATGTCTGCAACAGGGATGCAGGAAGTGGTGAGTGTAGGGCCCCTCCTCACTTGGGAGTGCCTATTCCAGACTACAGAAGATTCTGTAGGCCTGTTTAGGTTCATTGTGACCTGTTCATTCATTCTGAGAGCTCATTCTGGCATATTAAGAGTACACTTAGACCTGTAGGAGGCCCATTAATGACTTGGGAGCAACACCCTGTACTGGCCTGTAGCTGACAAAGTAGACTATGAAGGGCCAATTTTGGCCTGTAGAGCAGTGTTGGAAAACTTGATGTTTCCTGGTATAATATATACCAGGAGATTTTGTACTCCAGGATTGTGACAAGGTAAAATATATTTTGTACTTGATCATGATGCAACAAAAACAGCTTTTGGAAAAACTCATTCTATCTCTGTTTCAGGACAAAATTGAACCAGAAGGTACAACAGCATGAGACCTGCTGCTTCCATCATGAGCCATGTATTTATATCAGCAAGAGCACAAATCTTGCACCTACTAGACTTAGATATCCAATAGCAAGCAGCCTGTGTTGCCACCTAGGTATATGATAAATCATGTATGGGAATGCTGACAAATAAAGTGTGGGAATGTTGAATGGAATTTAACTGTTTGGAACAGACATCTCACTCCCATTAACACCAGACACCATAGCAACATGAACCCATAACTTTGGCTCCGCAAATTATGGAGTAAGATTTATTAGGGACAAAAACATCCATGAACTGCAACAGTTATATTTCGCAATGATGTGGGTTAAAGCCCATCAAAATCCATAAATACATTGCCTTATCCTGCCAGATTCAGCAGAGCGACCGACTCCGATCCCTTTTGGCTGGCCTGGGGTCTGTCAGGCATTGTACTTGCACTGGCTTGGTACAGTGGTTAGAGTGCTGCCTGTCTCTACTACTTGGCTGGGTCATGCAGGCCCTGTGTGATGTCCAGGAGGTGGAGGGCTTGATTGTTTAGCTGTTTTTAAAACCAGTTAGCTGGTGGAGCATGACCATGGTAGAGGGCGAGTAGCATAATTGTGGTGGGACATAAGTTAGGCTATCACTGTGTTCACCTAAATTTTTTGTGTACCATTTTTCTCTGGCTGTGCATATTGTAGCCACTCTCCATGTTGGAGAGTGTATAAGCCCTGCGCATAGCCACCCACCATTTTGGAGGGTGTATACACACAGCCTCTCATAAATTGCAACCCCATGTATATTTCCCTGCATTTCATAGTGCAGAGTCTGAGACCATATTGTTATATTGTGCCATGTTTAATACTGATATTTTCTTTCAATTAAGGTGCTTTTACATAAATAGCTGCGTATGACGTGGCACCTTTGTTGACTACTACCTTTCGTACTGTCATCTCTCTAAGATAACCTAAATAAAATTCAATGACCCACAGCACCCAGATATTGCATTCCACTACCAAAAATTTGTACTCTGCTACCAGGAATTTTTTTTGTATTTCTAACACTATATTAGAGGATGTATAAGATGGTTGCACAACAGCAATTTTTTGAAATGTATAAGCCAGGCATGTACACAATCCATTATAGAAAGTTTTCCAAGTGTAGGTAAACACTGGTACATAATGTTAGAAAGAAGCTTTGTAAATCATTTGTCGTGTTTAAGGTGGAACATATTGTAAATATCATAAAACAGGTAGGTTAATGCTCCTACCTTCAAATTTTAATAGCCATGATTGCGAGCTCCTGAGTGCATCACACACCCCACCGCCTTGACTTCCCAGCACTGTTTCTGCCCTATCGTTGCTATCATTGTGTGGCTACGACATTTCTGCTCATCAAGAGCCATAAAAATGTAGGGGTCAAGGTAACTGATAATGAAGTGAAATGTTGTTGATTGGTGTTTTTGGGCATGCCAACTGCAGAGGTCATTTGGCACCAATTATGAAGTGAAATATTCCCTAGTGTTTAGGTAAGCTTATGAAACAGACAGGCCAGAATAGTCCAGAACATGGCCTTAACTAGCCTAGCCTAGCCTAGCCTAGCCTAACCTAATCTAGCATATTTTCCCCACCATGTCAACCAATCTCAAAATAGTATGGAAGACTGCTGGGATACACAAAGGGACATTTCATTGGATTCTTGTTACCTTGGTCTCATACATTTTTATGGTTCTTGATGCAAAGTCATGTTGTAATCACACACAGCAAAGGTGCCAGGGTCACTGTTGCTGAGTTTGCCTTGCTTGGATGTTTGTTGTCATAGTTATGTAAGTTCCAAGGAAGGGCTTATATGACCAGCTGTACAATTAATTACATTATGTTCTGCCTTAAAAAGGATGATTGATGTACAATGCTCTTCTTTAACATGACGTAGCAATGTAAACCATGACTGGTTTTAACAGCCATCAGAGGCAATAATGAAAAAACTTACTTCTCAGCCAAAAAAAAACATGTCACATCACAATGACCTCAGCTGTGCGCTGAAACGGCATCGTGTCAACAGCCCCAGGCCATGGAAGTTCATGCCAATATGCACCGAAATGCAAACCACGTCGTGACAGCTGCGCCAAAGGTATTGACGTAACGTATGATTTGTGTACTATTATTTGTAACTGTACTATATGCATCATACTGTAACTGTATTATATGTATTATTTGTAACGTGTACGCAACGCACTGGGAATGCACACATTCGTTCCCGCAGTTCTGTATCACTCCAATGGAAAGCACAAAACAAATCCCGCAGAGACACAGCTCAACGACAATTGTGCAGTTTCTTTCATGTACAAATTGCAGCCACACCCAAACAAACATCCGCCTATCACCCAAATCGTGGACGCACCCGGACCGCACACCCACCAGCAGGCGACGCGAACGGAAGAGGAAGTCACAGTTGCCCAAGTGGAGGTGAAAATCAGCACCTAAAAAGGATATTTATGCAAAACCCAAATTCAAATACACAAATTGCAATATGCACACTATTCAATTTTTTTTCAGTAAGTGAAAAATATAAGAATACAAACCTAAGTCTTTCAATATATGCAGGAGAAAACAATTCAATTGGCAATATGTTTGCTTTCATCACTATTACAAATCTGGAAGCTTATTTGGTGGGGCAAAAGCCTCCCTTGGTACTAAATTACTTTGTGGTAAAAGCAACATTTCTTATACTACTTAAAAACAATTATATGTATTTGACATTCATCAATGACAGCCTATCCGCGGGAGGGGGAGGCAGCAGGGTAAATTGTCTTTCCATCTTTGAGGCCGGGGCGAAAGTATCTTTCCACCCCACAATTTCAGGTGCCCCAGAACACAAACAACTTGAAGCCACATCCCCACCCAGCCATTCTCAGGAATGTGGTAGTACTTGCTTGTTGTGTTACTAAAGCAAGTGTGAAGGGCCCATGTCTGGTTCGGAAAAATCCCATCTTAAACTCTGAAGAAAATCGTCTAGTATGATAAGGATTTATCTTAATCCTAATTGATTAATCCGACTGACAATCCTGGTCTGATTAATGACGACATCTCAGAATTAACGTGGGCCATTTCTAAGTATACCCAGATATGGGTCCGTCCCGAACCTAAAAGATGAGGGGCACCTTGTTGGCACACAAAATACTCACTTTTTCAGCCTAAAATGGATGGTACCCTGATTAATAAGGACCCTTTTGAGTCTACCTGTGAGCTCAATGACCTCACTTACGCCGGGGAGCAATCAGAGTCTTGGTAAGGGCGGGGAAAGAGCACGTGGTTAACAAATGGTCTCCTTCTGGTAAAAGTAACTCCCATTCCCCCGAAAACTTGATTTCAAGGGGCACGATTTTCTTCGTTTTGTTTCAATATATACCTTCCTGAACTGCAACACAACCCAAAAGGCACCAAAAGACACAATTATGTTTGTATTCTGGAGAAGTCGACAAACTAAAGGAGCTAAGCATTAAATAGTTCCATAGAATAAAACCATCGGCGTATGCATTTTCACCTGGCTCTTTCTTAGCCAGTAACGCTGAGGGCTGTGACGGACTTTGGTTTGGTTTTACGGACACTATGAAGCCACACTTAAGTCCGCAAATGATAATGAACATAGACTGTACTTAGAAATGAGGCCATAAATTTGTATTGATATGACTTAACCATTTTCATCCGGGAATTGTCATTCTATGCTCACAGTCGAGTAGTGGAAGTTTTTGGAAGTGGAAGTGGAAAAACACAGCATAGTTTTTATCATGTGTGCCGACAAATCTTAGCACAAGATCCCGCCTCCCAGCGTTGCAGTCTTCGTAGGCCGCGCGGCGCTGGCTCTGGGGCTAACACTAAGCGGCGTCCGGCGAATGGTCGGATGCGATGGCGTTTCTGAAAGAAGTACCTTCAAACTTAAGAAACTAAAACAAACTTAATCTGGCAAATGAGATGTCAATTCGTGTGTTATGAAGGCAGTTCGGAAGTATTCTCTATCTGCGCCATTTTTAGACTAATACCGGGAGCGGATTAGCGTTTGCAGCAATGCGAACCGTTGCACCGCACCTGGAATTTGATGCTGAAATAAGACAAGTAAAGGTAAAATCTCTATTTGTGTGTTGCTGTGGCTGATTTCCTGTTCAGAGGATGATCTCAAAATCCTGCACGTGAAGTAAATACCCAGTCTGATCTTCAAACGGTAAGAATTGGTTCTGAAAGACTTTCACGACCGTTTTTCACGACGGTTGTTTTTTCGCGCCAATCGCGCACCGCCAAGTGCCAGCTGCAGCGACCAACGCCCCTCGGTTTGGTAAAAACCGCAACACCGACCATCTCATCGATGCTCTTGTATGTAGTTTGTTTCACATGTTGATTCTGATGAAGTGTGGACGTCCTTGTTTGTGTAGGCCCTTTCTCTTTGAACCCATCTTGACCCGTCCCATTGAACACCAATGAAGCCTTGTAGACGGTGTCACCTGTAGGCGGCGGCATCTCCGCAGACTGCGCCACCACCGTAGGCGGCGTCACTGAAAATGCGCCTGCTGTCCAATTCGCTAGATGTCACCGTGCCCTATGCAGTATCAACTCGCAACTCGCAACTATGCAACTCCGCCAGCTGTACCTACAATCATTTCCTGCCGTTTAAATGATTTCTTCACACCGGCAGAAATAGTTCTATCTCGTAGAGACCTTTCATTTGGCGAATTGTTTCACAATGTCTTATATGCTATTCGTCAGGGCAACAGACAAGCTCTGCCAGCATCCACTCCCTCTTTCACGCCGCAACACGTGCATGCGACGATCGAGCCGCTCGCTGCTCCAGTGACTGTCGAATAAACCTTTGCTGTTAAGATACTCGCTCAAGTGTTAGTGCCCATACGCACAACAACCCCGTACCCTTTCCGTACAAGGCGGCCGGTGTGTACGACACCCGGGGTCACATATTTTTCGGTCAGGGGCTAAAAGGTCATTCCTTTAAAGCGCGGGGTGATTGCCGGCTGCCATGCTGGCGATACAGGGCGTGGATGCTGTGGTCGTTACGGAACCCTTAGAAGGATTGGAAGGATACATTGGTCGCCTCCCTGGAGGCGACCAATGTATTTTTTTAGACTCTTTTACCTGGACATTTGACCACGGATAGACGCAAGAGCCTTCATTGATACAAAAAGATCCCTTATCGCTGCAGCTGTGAAACAACTGGCACAGAGACTCCAGTTCGGTATAACGGACCCCTGGCTGGAATGGGATATAGAGCCCTTCAATCGGTGCTGGGGCTCCTGCCTAACAAAGCGTTTTCCATTGTCTCATTGTCTCATCAAAAACTTTGGTTTCCACTGTCAATGTCAGACGTCCCTGACCAACGCAAGATGCCTCTGGCATTTGGGGTCTCGTCCCTGTCCCTGTTTAGCAAATGTTGCCCAGACCCACTCGGGCCTCTTGCCGGGACAGGACCCTCTGTTAGGCACTGTGGGTTCCTGACCTACGCAGCGGCCCTCCTTGCTTCAGGGAATCCTAGTCAAAGCAGATCGCGGGGCTCAGATCGACATGAAGCCTACTGTTCGGTCTTAGTAGTCTCTGGCCAAAATAGAGGCTGCATTGTCCTACAGTGTCCTCAATCGATGCAAGAGACCACCTGACTGACATTCGAGGGACAGGTTCTGCGGGCTGGAGCCCTTAATGTGACCTACAGCCAGCGTTTTGTGCTCTCCAGTCGGGCGTTTGATCCACTTGGCCCACTGGATTGTCAGTTCAAAGAGGTCCATCTGCCCATTGTTCGGGCCCCTCCGAAAACTCTCCTAGGGCTGCTCTAGGCTTTTGCCAATGCAGGACACTTGTTAGGCACCGTGCTTCCCTGACTGACACAGGAAGCCTCTCATTGACTTACAGGCTCCGGCCAATGTAAATCGCGGGCCCCGACCTTGTGTCTGCTTATTAAAGGGACCCTCAGTCCCAGACCTGGCGTTTGAGTAATCTGGTGGCGAATCCTTCGCGTGTGACGGTCGTTAAGCCTACACCACAGCGGCGTAGCTTCGCAAAATAGGAAAGCGGGGGCGGGGGTCTGTTGTTGTTTTTGTTGTTGTTTCCTTTGTCTATTTGTTTCCGAATTTGACCAACTTTCACTTCAACGACATTTAGTGTAAGGCCCCCTCCCCCCACCAACTGAATGGAAGCTATAGCCCTGGCTTTTAGAATATAATAGGTTCCATTATATATAATGAAAGCTATTGCTGTGCGCTTCCTTGCTCCGTCTCAGCCGAATATGTCATTGTTGGATATCATCATCATTTAGTTGGGCGTCGATTGTCAGAATCAGGTTTCGGTAATCGACGAAAGGTTGATCGTATTTGGCTTCAGACGTTGTTGGACGTCGATTGAAGAGCGTAAGTTGACATGTGCAACTGTTAAAAGCTGCCACAGAAGCCCCGGGCTCGTACCCGCAAGGCGGAGTGCGGGCTGCCACGCAGCACTCGCGTTAAGCATGTCAGACGTGGCTAGTGTTGTTTTAGTGGTCATTTCGATGACTTCCGCGATTGGCTTAGTCGGTTGGTTGGGATCGTCAGGTCTTCATCACTGTTCCACTTAACATTCAGATAGAAATGAAGGCCGGTTTACTTCAAGGGTTTTTCTAAACGTAGACGGCTAGCTCATTTTCACGTTCCAATAAGACGTCGTGGGAAAATAACCCAACATGCTGCAGTCTGTAGAATTTGAAACGTGGCTGAACAGTGCAAAACACTCGGACAACAGCGCAAAACCAGATCAGCGCCACACGAGGCGTATCAAGTGTGTAATTAAAGGCATGTAGCATGCAGGAAAAATGGAACATATTCAAGTAAACACGGTGGGGCCATGGAGCTTTAAGGGTGCCGGTAGCGTAGTGGATAACGCGTCTGCGTTAACCACTGCTCATGTGGGAAACCAGAGGTACGGGGTACGATTCCCCGCGGTGCCCGCCCTTCCTGCCAGAGTGAGATGCAGGCGACGCCATATAGCCTCAGCCCAATGACATGACATGGAACTTTAAAAGTGTGACTAGTTCAGTCAGCTGCACCCGACTGAGCACACATTGGCAGGTTTCATTTTCTTTACTCCTACTGACTGTGAATCAATTATTAGCAACGTCCCTAAAATTCGACAAGCTGTTCATCTCCAGTTTTGATGTTCTGATTGTCTTTAGGCTCCGGAAGGACCACTCACCTCAGGTCACCGAATTGCAGTTGTTCATAATTTGGTTAAGTGTTCACCGTCAGTTCGCAGACAAAGTGTGCGCAAATCCCAGACATTTTTCTCGGAGGACGCTTGTGGAGCCTCGCAACCATCCGGTCGGCATGTCTCGGTCCAATTCACACGCGTACCTGGGAGCCAGTCAGGCGTCATGAAAGGCTCGTGAGGATTTCTTGCTGGGCGATAGGTTCGCTGCAGCCACATCATCGGGCGAATGATGAATATGTTGATTTAATAAGTGCTACGGCATTGTGAAATAGATAACATGCGGATCTCATGGCGTTGTGAGGTGACTGGTACGTACGTTAGACTACAAGGCAACATAACATTGTGATCCAGTTGAAAGGTAAATTTTTGTTATCGGATGTATCATTCTGGCTATTGCTGTGGTTATCATCTTTGTTTAAGTAGTTAGCTCGCCTTGAGTGCTTATAATCATTCATTCCATTTATTAGAAAATGGGTAACCATTCCCTGATCTGGCTGGGTACCTTCCCGTGTACCCAGCAGATCTAAGTGTAGCAGGTACCTGTGTTCTTCACCTATCTGTGAAGGCCGTGGAACTGGCGAAGGCAGTGGAGGGCGACATATCACACCCCGTAGAATGCAGATTCGGCAGCGACTCGTTCATCGGCCGACCGAATTGCCAGTTCGGTTGGAAATGACGTCATCGTCAGCACATGTACGCCTGAACCGCGCTTCCTTGCCATCACGCACTGTGTTTATAAACATCGCTAGCTGCGAGGAAGCGCGGGTTCGTGGCCGGTGCTCTTATTTCTGATAAAGGACGGGACATTAGCGGACTTGCGGTATGTACAGCATGATTTTCCAAAAGAATACTCTTGCTGTAATGTACCGTTTAGTTTTCAAGATATTCGTATGATTGCAACTCATGGTTTTCGATACTTGAAAAGTAAGCGACGTCTAAAATTAATGGGGCTATAGTCTTAATTTCAAAGCTTTTGACTGAAAGCAGAGCTTGAAAATGGTTAGAACTTTCATCAAACAAAGATTAATGGATTCTTGTGGTTACTGTGGTATTACATGACATTGTTTCATAAATGTCCTGGTTTTGTTGTATGACATTCAAATAATGTTTTAAGGATCAATGTACTTGATCCATGATGATGATTTGGGGTTTTAGGGTGCATCGACTGCTATAGGTCATGCAGTGCCCATACTTGATCCATAATCTTTTGATATGCTATGCATGGATTTATATCATGCATATAAGCATAACAAATTATTTTCCAGGTGGCCTTGCTGCAGGCTGCATGGTGCAGAGGAGCAATGATTGCAACCCAGGAGCTGAGTGCAAGATTGGTATCCTCTTGCCAAAAGCTCTGGGAAAAAGAGTCACTTCTGGACTGCACAGTTGCTTGCATTAATGGCAAGCTGAAGGCGCACAAGATAGTTCTGTCAGCTGCATCAGACTTCCTCCTGGCAAGTAAAATGTAGTTTGTGCATCATAAGCATACTTTGGTTGCCCCTCCATCTAGCCCACACACCTGAACACACACATGCACAACCCCATTACCTAAGCATTTGTGCAAAGTACCATAACATGTTGAGTAAGTGTGGGATAACTATTTTGCCATGTTTATCGCATTCTTGTTAGGCATGAATTGTGTTACTCTTGGATGACAAGTATAATTCATAAGGCAAACATTTAACTAGACCATTGAATAAGTTAGAACATGTTTGGAATGTGCATTGATAGCTTAAATATGAAATAAACATGATTATTTGAACAATAACATGCCAGAAGCACACAGATGTTACACAAAATATGACCAACACAATCCATCTGAAAATGGCAATGTAGCTGTCATAATATCCTGTAAATGCATACCATGCTTATTTATTTTTGTGTACTTTTTCAGGACCTCCTTGAGGGCAACCCTGGTGAACATCCAACATTGATCTTAGATACTGATTTTGATTCACTGAACCACCTGCTGAATTATCTTTATTATGGAAATCTACCATCGGAAGAGTTTTCAGATTTCTTCAGTCTTGCGCACAAGCTCAAACTGCATGGAATAAGTACTTACCTGCCATTTGTGTGTATGTGTGTCCATGGAATATCTGTTTTAATGAGTGATGCTTTGTGTAAATTTGCTTCACTATGGATGTTGGCTTGATGGTAAGCAGCAGAACCACCTATGTGCTTGCTCTGTTCTTTGGATATGAAGTTCTTTTTCATTTGATGTGTTGACTTCAATGTTCTGCTTTCCTGAAGCAAAAATGTGACCTTATGTTACTGATGGCGCAGCTAACTCCAGTTTGTTCATTCTTCCGTTTTTCCCAGGGTGAGTAAAAGGGTCCTCCCTCCCCAGCTGCATATCTGAATAATTGTTGCCTGCAGTTGCATCCAACACCAGTCACGTGACTCCAGCACTCATGCAGTGCCTGACCCGTCGCCATGTTTGCCGACAGCGGCGGGTCCGGAGCCCTCCCAAGCGGCGGACGGGGCGGTCCGGCGGCGCGGCCGGCCCCGCAAGACGCGTCAGGTGGCACGCCGCGAGGACGGACCGCTGGTGGCGGCGGCCGCCAGCGCTCCACCCGATCCTGCCCGTCCGCCGCTCTTCCTGCCGACGGTCAGTCCGCGGCGGAGCCGCTCACGCCGCCGGTACAGGCCGGCGCAGCCGCTCACGCCGGCGGTACGGGCCGGCGCAGCCGCTCACGCCGCCGGTACGGGCCGGCGCAGCCGCTCACGCCTCCGGTACAGGCCGGCGCAGCCGCTCACGCCGCCGGTACAGGCCGGCGCAGCCGCTCACGCCGCCGGTACAGGCCGACGCAGCCGCGGGCATCGGCTGCGCCGAACGTGCATGCGCACGGCGAGATGCCTGCCCAGACACTGGGCTTACCCACGTCCTCCTATTTAATGCAGTATCTCATATATTAATCAGCAGGCATCTGTGCCTGCGAAGAGAGTGTTCCGTATTTGTATGGGGTTATGAACTGAGATAGTCACTTTGAAGATCATTCAGGGGAGTGGATAGCCATGCCCTTTCAAAGACTTAAGCTCATGTTGTTTCTAAGCTCGACGCCCGAATGATAGTGGTTGTGGTGCCGCGAATCATGCTGCACGATTCGTGGTTCCATGGTATATATGTATATGTATATGTATGTATATATATGTATATATATGTATATATATGTATATGTATATGTATGTATATATATATATATATATTATATATATATATATATATATATATATATATATATATATAGATATACTATGGTCCTTTTGGCCAGTAATGCCAGTTCAGGGCTGTGGGGTAAAAGAGAATGGAAAGTCGTGCAGCAGAGCTGCATGCACCTTGGGACCCAACCGCCGAGACTAAGCCCGCGCTGTGACCTCACTGTCGGGGTGTGCGCTTGGCACTCGGACGGAGGCCCCACCGGGTGTCTTTTGGCCCACTCATGGCGCATGCAGCCCGCTTCGGACAGGAAGGGCGTCACGAGGATGCAGGATAAAGCAGGGAAGGGGATAACGGGGCGGATGATCGTACACATATTACGCGGTATGTTACATAAGGCGGGAATTTGTGCAGTGGTACGAGTTATGATGGAAATAAGGCTGGGAACCGAATAACCTATGAAAAGGGCCATAACGCAACATGTGAAAAAAGTTAGCAATGCAAAATCACGGAAAATATATAAGAAAACCACGAGGGGCGGCCAAAACACGAGCACAGCAATATTCGGGTTTAGCCAACGCGCACCAACAAACGCCTCCACCTCTCGGCAAGTTGAAGTACTGGAAGTGAGCCAGCCCGTCCCCTACAGTGGCAATTCGGTTGCGGAAGGTCTGGCAGCGACTCCGACTTCATAAAGATGTTCCATGACGTTTTAAGGAATCTATTCATGCGCTAGCGAACTTTTGTTCTTTAGAGCAGTCTTTTACACTTAGAAGCAAACCAATAGTTATAAGTGAGCTTATTTCATGATATCTGATGCTTGCCTCATGTTTTCAAATGTAGAACATTCCGTTCAAGGAAATTTACTTCGTTAACCACGTTGCAGAAAAAAAACATCGGTCACTGGTTGTGTCTGATGGGGGCGGGGGCGGGGGGGGGGGGGGGGTCTCATGGTGACATCAGCAGCTGCCTGTTATGCTGCGAGCGTCGGCGTTGGTCTTGACCTCCCGGAGTAAGCCGCCTGCTGCTGGCCCCGCAGGAGCCGGTGGCTGACGTCGAGGTGAAGGTGATCCGCACTGTGGCCGGCACCATCCAAGTGCTGCGACCCAACCAGGTGGGCACTGCACCCCGCGTAGCCCGTCAGGTCGTCTGGAATAACGATCGATCGGGTCGATTTTTTCGTAATGTTGCTTGGTGAGTCTCGCGTAAGGCGGCTAGTTAAAGCATGTGTATCCTCAGAGGGGATGCAGTTAATTTGTAAATGTTGCGGCAGGCTCACTATACAATGTCATGGTGGATAAAGTGGCATATGATCTGATGGAGCATAACATTTGCGTACTTTGTGCATTTAGTTCCTGGTAGGCTTTTGCGTATAAGTCCTTAAGGTGTAATGCCCTGCGTCTTTTGTAGCTCCGTCAAATCGATTTGGGCGGTCGTCGCTACATGTGTATTGTGTTGGAACTGTCATTGAGTCCAGCGATGATATCCTGCAGCAGGAGGCAATGCTCCATTCCAGTGGTTTCTAGTAGTCCTTCCGTTGCTGAATGCGCCATCAATGCCGGATGGAGCTGAGCCTCCAGCGTATAACACGTCGGCCTCTGGCCGCAGGCGTCTGTTGACGGAGCCGAGGTGCCGGCGCCAGCCTCGCCGCCCCCGCCGCCGCCGCCTCCGCCGCCGCCGGGTGACGCGGGTCGCGACCGACCCTTGGCCACGGCCGGTATCCCCGATCAGCTGTTCGGCGGGTCGGCCACCCCGGCCGCCGCCGAGTCCCCGCCCTCCGACGACGAAGGCGACGCGGGCGGTGGAGGCGAGACAGAGTGGCAGCCGCTGCTCGACCTGGACGATTCTGGGAAGCTAGTCGACGAGGCGCAGGTGAGAGGTCGGGGTGCTTGCAATGGGCGGGTGCGCGTACAGCGGAGAGCTGGCAGTGGGCGGGTGCGTGTAACGGACGGCTGGCCGTGGGCGGGTGCGTGTAACGGAGGGCTGGCTGTGGGCGGGTGCGTGCAGCTGGCGGGTGTGTGTGTGTTTGTGCGGCGGAGGTCTGACAGCGGTGGTTGAAGGCTCGGCGCGGGAGTTATAGGTGCTCAGTCCGACGTCCGTTGTCGATTTATTTCGATTGCCTTTCGTTTGAATTGACTTTTTTAAGCTGCGTCGTAGTGGCCAGATTATTTAGGTGGAATATTATAGGTTCATATGGTGACCAATCCTATTCTGTGAGACACCCTAGATGTATGCCCCAAAGCTCCGCGAAGTGCTGAAGATAAAGATGACGGGGATCAAATTCCGGGGCGGAGGTGGCCAAAAGAAATGGCTTCTGCGATGGCGCTGTGCCATGACAACAAAGTATAACCAGGTGACTTGAAACAGCTGGCGGTTGTGCGAATCCCACAGTTGTCAAACTACACCGAAGTGTGTACTGATCGGTCAAAGTAGTCCACTGGGACGGGCTGTGCATTTGTATGTGATTATTTACTAGGCGTTTTTGTTTACCAACAGGTGCGTCCGTTTTTTATGCCGGGCTATACACGATTTACACTGCTTGGAAATTTATCAAGACGTACCGAAGAAGACGTTTTCTCATTTTTATCCACTCAATTAGCTATTTGTTTTCTTTGAAACCACTATCGTCGCTGCTTTAGCTACTACGGCGAAATATCTGTACGCGATCACACGGACTATGTGCGAGCTGTAAGGAGGTGATCTTGTGGATACGGAGCCATGCTGTTCTCCATAGCAACGAACTTGCGGACGCCGCTGCTAAGCTGAGCAGGCGGCGAATGCAGTTTTCCCGCTTCTGCTTCAGACTTAAAATGTATGGTATCCACACATGTTGGTGATGTGTGGTAGCGGAGGTAGAATGCTGATTCCAGCAGGTTTAGCGAGGTCAAACCCGCCATAGCTGAGTGGACATTTAGCCATATGAAGTACCGCCCCGGGGAGGTTGCGCTCTGCCGGCTCCGCCTTGGTCATGGCTACCAAACACAGACACACGCCATCCCTTGGGAGATGACCCACCATTGTGCTCTCGATGCGACGATGGGCCGACCACTGCTCGCGTCCTCACGTGGCGCCATGTTGACGCCAAAAGGGACCGATTTATGCCACCCCACCGGTTCCACAGCTTCTTGGTGAGCAGCCTTCCGCGGACACCTCCTCCATTTCATCATTAAAAAATCCTTAAGACTCCAGTTTGTGTACGACCGGACGCGACCAGGCTAGCGAAATGCTGGAGTTCTAAGTTTGCGCCTCATCAGTGCTACAGGCTCGTAGCTCTGCTTTGGTGCCATACTTCAACCGACAGGCTGTCTGTAATAAATTGCAGAGTTATGTGCAAATAACCAACGTAATGGATGCACTAGGACACCCTACCACAAATCTGTGATAAATTGCCGAGCTATGCGCAAATAACCAACGTAATTGATGCGCGAGGGCATCCTACGACAAATCGACGGGGGTATCACGCCTAATATTTGTATTGTAATGAAAATTCTTTCAAGGGGCCGTCTTATTCCCTGAATACCCCTGTACTGTTCTATGACGGGTCAGAACAATGGTTGAAAAGCTAAGGTCTGGGCATTTTTATTAGGCCAGCGAACAAAGGCGTGTTTACGGGCCTATAACGCAGCGAATGATTATTTTAAATTATGCGAAGTTACCGTAGAGTTTGCAATGAGGTGGTGCATATTTTGTCTGTTTCCAATTTTTTTCACTTAATTTTTAAAACCGTAACAGCATGTTCAAAGGTCATAGTACAGATTTTGATCTTTGGACGGTGATGATGCTTTTACAAAATATTTTTCCCTAGAAGTGCTGATTATTTGTTTCAAACCAGGCATACGTGGTTGTTTTGCGATAGTTTCAATGGTACTCAGTTGTAATATGTGTGAAGTTGTAATATGTGTGAAGGATGTAATATTGCTGAAGCAAAAGACATCGTCGTCAAGCATGTCAATGGATGAGAGGGTGTATCACTTGGCCGTATTTTCATGATATAATGGTACAAAACCGTCGGGCTGGGAGGGGGCTCCCCGCAAACCATAACCAGAAATGTAGAATCTCAGCCATGACCATAAAAATCCATTATCACAAATCTCATTGTGATAAGATGCAAGTTAGCAAGTAGAAATCCAGTCAAGCAAAAAAGTGCGAGCATTCACGTTCCTTGTCTCCGCAGAGCGCCCGGCTGTGTGAGCATTACACTGTCATGGAGCTGGAAGTTTTCAAACACATTCTTGCACAACTCTTGAGTTATAAGGCTGTGTGCGATGCTGCTGTGGATGTTATTGTGGTTATGTGTCTTTGTAGTATTTTTATTATAGGTGCATTTTATACGTATCCAAGTAACGATAGGAATCTTTGTCTTTGTACTAAAAGAAGCCTTCAAGATAGCGGTGCATAACTTTCATCCTTTAAAACTCAAAACTTATTTCTTACGCCTTTTAAATTTCTCCGATGATCAGTTAAGTTATCGAAACGTTGGAATATACGGATATCGACAAGTGCATGAGTGATTTGTACCAACAATCTTTTATCTTAACGATGTTGCTCAGTCAAAATCCCAGAACCTCGACAATGCATCAAGAAACTTGTCAGCGCGTAATTCGTAGGAGTTTTTAAAAATCATGCATGCAGGAATACATATATATATATATATATATATATATATATATATATATATATATATATATATATTAGTCTCTTGCGCGTTGCTTGACTGTTCGAATGAAATTCTTTGTTATTTTCGGCAAGTGTTTGCATGGGTTTTGTGATTTGTCCCGATATTCGGATGTATAATCTGGTAACTGGTGGTTCATCTTTGGTTATGTCTCGTAGAGCATGCCCCGTATGCTCCAATGTTTTCCATCCGATTGTCTTGTGTTGCCTGGAGAATGGGGAATGAATGTCCTTAAAACCTTAGGTAGTCACCGGGCGATCAGGAGTGCCCCTCCCAGTATCCCAGCGACACACTTAACCTTATGTTAGCACCAGAAATAATAAACGCAATGTAAACGTGAGTATCCATGTTCTGATATATTCACTGCGGTTGGGCCGATCCCGTATAATCGAGAAGAATGCTGTTCCTCGCGTTGGAAGTGGTGAACTCTTGCATCTATTTATGACGCCGTTCCAGGCCGGCGATGACGTCACATCGGAGAGCAGCAGCAGACGGCCAGCGCGGCGAACCTCCAGCAGCGTGCAGTGCAGCTTCTGTGGCAAAATGTGCTGCAACCGCCAGACACTGAAGGTGGCAACGCCGTGTCGCTGTCGGTCATCGGTGCCGATGCCGGCCCGAGTATTTGTCACAGTGGAGCGATAGATTCTTGCCACCACCGCGAGCTTTACGCCGGTCGCTGAACAGTTATTTACACATGGTCAGTGCACGGTTGAGCCTGGTGAATGAAAGGTGCCTGCCTCTGGTCTTGGAACGCGACTTATGTCCTTCCTCCTTGCATCTTGTGCCTAAGCCGACCGTGGAAGGCATTGCTGATCAATGTAATGATTATTGCCATAGGTGCCTGCATGAACGGTCGGCAAGCGATGTGATGATTGCCGTCATAACTCCACGTGTCGATGGTCTGGCGTCATAACTCCACGTATCGATGGTCTGGCGTCATAACTCCACGTATCGATGGTCTGGCGTCATAACTCCACGTATCGATGGTCGTATAATGGGTGTTATTTTTGTAAATCATTAAACACTATAAACAAATGTGATGCTTAATGGACACGTTACACTGACAGGTGAGATAACGCTGAAAGAACAGGTTGTGTGTTAGTCCCAAGCAGAAGAAGTCAAGCGCTCAAAGCGATTGACTTTTTTGTGTTTGTCTGATTTTGTTTTCTCCTGCAACCACAGACTGTTTATTTGCTTAACAGTTATACGAGTCTAGGCGCCAGCTACGATGAGTATTTACAAGTAACGCCCCCTCCCCTCCTGAAAGCTCGCCCCAGGCGTGTGCCAGCGCCTCCGACACCGGTCGGCGCCAGTGGCGCTCGGCGCGAGGTTCACACTGACCCGAGCCGCCTCCCGCCACCAGGTGCACGCGCGCGTCCACACGGATGAGCGGCCGTTCGCCTGTCCCGCCCCCGACTGTGGCAAGGCCTTCCGGCAGCGCGTCCACCTGCGCCGCCACGTGCGCTGCCACGATACCGTGCGTCACTTCAGCTGCCCCGTCTGCGGTCGCTCGTGAGTGGCACGTGCCGGGCCGGCGCCAGTGTGCGCTGAGTGCGCCATGCGGCGCGGTGACGTTTACAACGGCCTTGGGTGCGGCCCTCTGGCACCATGTCGGCGATTCTAGACATGGAGTTATAAAAGTAAAACGTTTGGTTGAACAGTTAACGTGCTTTGACTGATGCACCCATTCGCCTGGGTGCTATCTGACCGAGGTCTGACCGCGACAGGTTCAAGTTCGAGTCGAATCTGCAGCGCCACAAGGAACTGCACGACAAGGGCAGCGGCCCCCTGCGGCCGCGCCGCTACCGCGACAACAAGGGTATCCTCTGCAACCTCTGTGGCAAGGTGAGACTCCACCGACGACGGAAAGATCTCCTGCAACTGCAGTGCAGTCGCCCCGCCGGATATGGCTCGCCTTTCTCGCCTGCGCCTCTTGTGAAGACTGGGCCGCGCGCTGGCCCCGATATCGTGACCGAGCTGCGGCGGTCGCCGCGATCCGCGGCCAGTGCCGGTGGGTGTGACTGCCCCAGCTCCGGTCGGGCCTGTCGTCCCGTTTCTGAGATCCACCGCCTTCCGTCCTCCCCGCAGAAGTTCGTCTCGCCAGCGGCCTTCGAGAACCACGTACGCGTGCACACCAACCACCGACCGTTCGTGTGCGGCGTCTGCCAGAAGGGTTTCAAGCAGAAGTCGCACCTCACCGAGCATGAGCGCATTCACTCAGGCCAGAAGCCGTTTAAGTGCGTGCGCTGCGAGCTGACGTTCTACAACCGGAGCCGCTTCAAGCTGCACCAGGTGACGGGGACGGCCGATGGGTGCCGCAGGAGCAGAGCGTTGAGTGGAATAGCCACTACTGCCTCGACGCTGTAGTTTGTTTGTTTGGATATTTTGCCACGATGCGTGCGACTGATACGTTGTTACTGGTAATGCTCCACACGTGTATGAGGTTTTGAACTGAGATAGCCATTTTGAAGATTGGCTATATTTAGATAACGTTTTTCATCCAATGCAGTTTACAGCTATGTCCTTTCAAACCCTTGTCCTGATTTACAGTTTTTATAACGTACACTGATAGGGGTTTACTGCGACTTTCCTGGTGTTTCCAAACTAAAATAGATTGATACTAACGTAACATAGTACGGGATTGGCCTCAATGAGAACTCTCGTTAGCGTAACATAGCACTGGATTGACCTCAATGAAAACTCCCGCTTGTTAATATTTTTATGCGGACAGGTAAAAAGTTGACCTAATCATGCCAGGTAAATGGTTACGTCTTCCATAAAATCGCAGTTTTTCATCTTCGCATCACGCATACGTGGCCATGGTTTGTGACGACACGAAGTCTACTCGGGCGTGTTTCTTTTCCAGTTTTTAGTTCTGTGGTGTATATCTGCATGTGTTTGGAGCGTATATTTATGGTATTTGGCCCCGTTGATACAATGTCGGCCCGCCGTACGACTACTCAGCATCATTGGTTGCCGTCCGCCGCCCGCGCCGGCCGTAGATCGCCAGTGTTCCTTAAAAAACGCCGCTGCTCTGAAACCAGAGAAGCTAGAAAGATGTCTGGTGTCAAAATATGCGCGATGGAAGCCCCATGGGCTAACGAAAATGTGGACACAGTTGCCTAACATGCCGGAGAGGAATCCTGAAAAAGCTGAGTGTTGAGGGGTTGCATCCACCCATCCCCCGTATCAGATCGGGGGTTAATCACATTTGGAACCAGTGTTTCACGGAGTTTTCGCTGTGAAGATACCACTGCCTGTGACCAATCTCAGGATTTGTCAGATTTAGTATCAAAGTTGTTGTAATCACAGGACTAGATCGGTGTCATAATTCGCAGCAGGGTTTCAAAAACGGTGACACGTTTTGTCAAGCGTAAGTTACCAGATCCCGCCTGTATGAGCCATATACAGAATGAAACGGACAGAAAAGTCATTGCTTAATACGCCCACCAGAGGTGTCGATTTTTTCAAAATGATTGGGGGACGAGAGTTGTGCATTTAAAGCCCATGTGCGTAGCCACAGAAATCACATGTGGAAGGCTGCCAGTTTGCATCAGCTTCTTATATAGGTACCTGTTTTGTGAAGCTGAGGGAATGCAGTTGCGCCTTTGCCTAGCGTATTAATAAGTAAAATGTACGCATAATCTTAATGGCGGTGAAAGGCCCTCCCAAAAAATCGCCTGAGATGGGCCATCCGTTAATGAGGGCGCAGTTTTCGTTGTTTTAATATGACGTTTTTTCTTCTATAACAGGTTAAGATGCCAGAGGCGATTGCGGAAGGAACTCCATTGGAATTTTGAAGGGAATAAACTGAGGAAACTAGGTGTTAAACGCCTGCATCAAATGTAATGCCGGCGCTCTTCATTTTATATTGGCTTATTGGACTCTTTGTAAACCGTTGCATCTCAGAACCTTCAACAGAACTTTGATCTGGATTCTACCGAGATATTGATGCCCCCGTAAGCGTAGACTAAATCGAATGGATCAAAACGTGTCTTATCACGGCCAACCCATGTTTTTTCTGCAAATGTATAACATTCAGTCAGTCAATTGGCGAGAAAAAAGCACAGAAATGTAGGAACATCACGAAGGGCTAAAACACGAGCACAAAACGATATTTGGGCTCAGCAAACACACTGTTGCAAAGAACGTCACCTCTCGGCAAGTTGAAGTGCTTAAGTGAGTCGGCTCGTCCGCTACAGTAACAATTCTGACTCAGCTAGTCTGGCAGCAACTCTGACGTCATAAAGAGTTTCCATGACGTAATCAAACGATGACGTATTGAGGAACATATTAACTAATTATTGAAATTTATTTGTGTAGTCTTGTACACTTCAAAGCAAAACAATGGTTACTAGTGAGCTTGTTTCATTGTTTCATCATATCTGGCACTTGCCTCAATACCCCACATTTGAAGGAACGCGCACATCCCTCCAGAGTTCATTGGCCCGCTTTATGGTCCTGGTTTCCGTGGTAGCTACAGGAATGAGCTGTCTGTCTGGAATCCAACCTCGGGCAGAACGGTTGGTGCCTGCACTGTTGGCCATTGTTGGGTTCGATCGGCCAGACCATTATCATACATTACCAGAGCGATCATTTCAAGTATAAGTCGCGTTGAACCAACACTTAACGGACGCGTTTTCAGGTGATGCACCTGAACGAAGATGTGCAGAATGGCGAGTCGCCCGAAGTGCTCGATCCGGAGCATAGGTTTCCGGTATGCACCATCTGCTCCAAAAGGTGAGCGGTCAGAATAGCTGCCCGTGCTAACGTGCCAAAGTGCGAAGGCCCCTTTCTTTGCATGAATTGTACTACTGATGTTCTGCACTCGCTTGTATGGACTATGGCACCTGATGAACGTACCGTTTTTCTGCTCCTATCGTCCATCCGTGGAAATCTCCCCGAACAGTTTTCTCGTTTTGGAGCGATCCCCTTGACTGGGTTTCCACAACTTGTCGACAATGCTTCTGCCTGGTAACATCGTTCGCCTCCCAGTTATGGGTGTCTCGACGACAGCCTCTCGTGTGCTCGGCTGTGCCAAGTCACCCTCCAGTTCCAGACGTGGTTGTTTTCGCGACTGGCCGTGTTTCCCGCAACGGATAACCGTCGTCCGCCGGCCCTGGTCCGTGTCCCCTCCTCACCTAGAGGTGCCGTGTCCTTACGCGCCGCCTCCCGTCGCTAGGTTCATCAACGGATGACTGTCGTCCGCCGGCCTCGGTCCGTGTCCCCTTCTCACCGAGAGGTGCCGTGTCCTGACACGCCGCCTCCCGTCGCTAGGTTCATCAACGGATAACTGTCGTCCGCCGGCCCTGGTCCGTGTCCCCTCCTCACCGAGAGGTGCCGTGTCCTGACGCGCCGCCTCCCGTCGCCAGGTTCATCGACGGATAACTGTCGTCCGCCGGCCCCGGCCCCCGTCCCCTCCTCACCGAGAGGTGCCGTGTCCTGACGCGCCGCCTCCCGTCGCCAGGTTCATCAACGCCAGCAATCTGAGGCTGCACCAGCGACGGCACAGCAACGCCAAGCCGCACGCCTGCCACCTGTGCAGCTTCCGCTTCAAGATGGCCAAGAGCCTGGACAAGCACCTGGCCTCGCACCACAAGGAGGAGCAGCAGCGGCTGGAGGCCGGAGAGCAGCTGCAGCAGGAGCGGCAGCAGTCTCAGGTCAGTCGGAGAGCCTCACGGCCGGGCCCCTCGGCAGGTCACGTGGTCAGGCTCCTCAGCAGGTCAGATGGTCCGGTCAGTGGGACAGAGCCGCTCGGGCAGGGTCTCACGGCCAGGCCCCTCAGCAGGTCATGCGGCCAGGCTCCTGAGCAGGTCAGACGGTCAGGTCATTGGGACAGGGCCGCTCTGGCAGGGTCTCACGGTCGGGCCCCTCGGCAGGTCACGTGGCCAGGCTCCTCAGCAGCTCACCATGCGTCCAGATCCCTGAGGAGGTCAGGAGGTCAGGTCTCGTAGTGAGCTGGGTGGTCCGGTCCCCCGTCCCACCCCCCAGACCGTGTCACAGTTTCTGCCGCTTGTGTCGGGTGGCGTCTCCACCGGCGGCGTCGGCGGCGCGGCCGTCGCTTGATGCGGCTGGGACCGCGCTGCGCCGCGGGCCGGCGCCGAACGCCGCCTGACACCGCCCTCTTGCGTGCAGGGGTCTGCGGCCGGCCTGCCGGTCGCGGAGACGGGCGCCGAGGCAGCCGTCATCATCCTCCGCGAGGAGGAGGACGGCAGCCTGACGTATGTGCCAGAGCTGCAGGACGCCAGCACCGACGGCAGGGTCGTCCAGGTCAGCTATGCTGAGCGCGCCTGCCGCCGAGGAATAAGAGTCGTTCGATTTCTGGCATGGTGTGCGCCCAGCGTCGCAAGTTGTTATGCCATGCGCAGAAGGAAGTGAAACCGGTGCTGGGAGCAGAACGACTTGCGACCGTCCGTGTTTTTGAGACCTCTGTGGTCGGGGACGTATATAAGATTTCGGAAAAGGGGGCATAGGAATACACATTTTCGACGCGCCGTAGGCGCGTGAATCATCAAGCGTGGTATATAACGTATTTTTACGCGCCTGCTTCGTTTTTTTGTTTACTAACGCACACATTCATACATGCAACAATTTGCATAGGTGTGAGCGGGGGGGGGGGGGGGGGCACCTACCTGCCCCCTTTTATCATACCCGTCGTGCGTAATGGCTGGCCGTCTCCGTCCTGCACCACATGGCTGAGGACTTTTTGTGATGGTGCGGCTTTGGTTTTGGACTTTGACTCCGTCAACCAATTTATGTATCGATAGCAAACCCTTCCTGAGACTGCTCGTCTCCGTCAATATTACGCCGCAGACTGTTGACTGCAGTCACAAACTCCAAGAAATGCAATCAGTAATCCAAAAGGGTCACCTTATGTCGGCAGACATGTCCTCACCAGTTCAGTTTGAAAGTTAGAATTGTATGACACACAACAAATATAATTCAGAGCTGAAGAACAATGCGGATCGTGGGCGTTTGTGGCTTCATTCACCCCACCGGCAATCTCCGCACGCACGCGCGCTCGCTCCCGCCGACCAATCCCGACTCCCCTCCAGCGTTGGCGTCCCCCCCCCCCCGCCCGCAGCCCAGGTGTGTACATCCTCTGGCACCGGGACACGCCAGAGACCAGAGGATGCACACCATCTGGCACCGGGACACGCGGGGCCCACGCGGATATCATCATGCCAACGCACAGCGTTTAAGCGGACAATTTATGTAAAAGTTTGTGTTTATACCCGCGAATTTGAACGAGTTTGACCATGTTAGTCTCGCAGACATTTGACACATTGCGAAAAACGGGAGGCTCGGTAACAGAAATAGAGTGATCAAATGGAAATACCAGGACAACATGAATGGGTAGAAATGGACGTGCAAAAGTGATGTGCTGAGGTTCGTATCCAGTAAGTGCACTTGGCTACTCTAATAGGGCCATCTACTGGCGGTTTTGTTTATGGAGGGCTTCAGAGCGCGGATGAAAATTGTTTGTTCAAGTCTTCTTTACGTGCCCACGACACTCGCCCCACATTTTCCCCGGATTATCTTGGGGAGATGCTAATCAAATCTATGATGAGCCCGAAGATAAAGCCTAATTGGGTTATTTATTTCCTTGCTGAATGCTGCACGCAGATGGCAAAAAAACCTTCCACGTACCGGACGAATGGACTTTGTAGGTAGCGGAACACAGAGTGTATATGATGGAATGCGTTGCATTGTAGGCGGGGCAAGTGCTATCAAATCCAGAGGCATACGGGACACGCTTGCCCCTTTTGATGGGGCATTTTGGCCTGCGTAGTGTGGTATGCACCCAACGCTGTTTGAGGGACCCTGGATTGGTCCATGCCACTGCATTTATTCCGTTATTTTTGACGGTTGTTCGGGACCTGTGACGTAATTAATCGTTGATGTAAGGTAATGTGAGGTACACCACGATCTATCCTTGGCGAAAGACCGGCAATCAGACGCTGATTGATAGCGGGTACTTCTTGTACTTTCATCCCACTTTTCGGACTTAACTAATTGTTGCATCAGACGCGTACTATTTGACTAGCAATACCAATTTTCTCGAAGTTCTAACAAGCTCAGAATTTCTATTTGGAGTAGCCGACCCTGCAGGAGAAATCGCATTTGACTCCCTGCTAACCACTATAAAGGCGTTACATTTCAGTAGCATTGTTCGTCCAAGGTATATGTTCTGTAATGTTTGCGATGCGCAAATGTGTCAGAAGGTTCGCGGAATCAATGCTAGCTCGAAGCTCGAAACACTGCTTAGGCAAAAATATATGCGAACATGAAGCTTTTATCGCACGAACTCAACGAATCGTTATACTTTGGCTTTCATTTTTCCCCTATGACGTTTACCACGGTGGCCCTTTTCGAAACGCACTTTGCCGGTGGGAATAGGAGAAGCAAAGCACATGATCTATGTGACGTAGTGGTTCAAATTTCAACCCACCAACTTCTCGGTAACAGGCCCTTGTCCTTTGAGCCAACCACAAACGTTCTTTTATTCGCATCAGTAGAGGTGCGCATGGCCTTTGGCATGATGACGGTGGTCGCGACGACAGGAAAGAAGCGCGATGCTGGTAAAAAGCGTTGAGAGCGTAATTTGTAGATAACGCAATTTTTTAGTTAGAAAACATGCTCCATATCATGACACTGTTTGATTTCGTCATCGCAATTTGCGCAACATTGATTGAGAGCCAATTGACGGTAATTATATATGAAAATCGTGCCCACGAACGCCGGGTATGAACGACTCGACATTTTTGTTTTACATTGATCGCCACATGACACAATTTAAATGAAGTTGTCATGGCGTCATGGGGTCTGGATAATATTGAAATTGTCTTCACAAAATAGTCTGCACGTGTTTTCGGGCGTGTAGCTCAGAAACCAGGGGGGTTTAGGTTTAAAGAAGGACAGGGCTGTGAATTGCGCCGAATGGTGTTTAAGATGGCCATTTCAGTTCAAACCTTGTGTCCCCATGCAAATGTGGCACTCTCTTTGTAACTAAGATTGAAGCAAGCCATGGAATGACCGCTACGATCTGTGCCGCGGTGGATTACCCGCGGTATGGGTGAAAGCTAAACAGCTTGCCGAAGCATTTTTCTTTTTTTGTGCGTCTCGTATGCGCGCATGAATCATGTGAGGTCTTGCTGGAATGCGTTTCTTTTCCTAGTGATTGGCCACATGTGTGTTTTTTGGAGAGCGTTTCAAGAAAACGTCTATAGCATCGTGTTCATTGTTAGCACCGTTTTCATCCCGACGTTTGGTCTGAAACTGTGTGGATGGGTGGAGAAAGTTCACATGGTTTGAAGTCGGCAGAAACTCTGCTCACCCTGTGTCCACACCCCAACAGGATAATCTGTGTATCGCATAAAAAGTCGGGTCTCCGGGTGTCATCGATCTGAATTCCTAGGTGGTGCGTGAATGGTATGGCCACCGATGAACCTATTTTATTTTTCCCATGGTTGGCCCCGCGCTTTGCTCGTCGTTAACGTCTTCTAGCCGAGAAAGCTGTTCTGCAGGCATAATCTCATGAGGTTTTTGACAAGGGCCGCAGGGCCAAATATCTGAATGATGTTGGCGTGATGCTGAAGCACACCAGATATCGCTATGATGGCCTCATGTATAAGAATATTGGTGCATAGTGATAGCACACCCATTTCGAAGACAAATGCTTTGTATGGAGTTTTGAGGGGTTTTTTGCCTTAAACTTTTCAAGAAATGATCTAGAATTGGTCAGATGTGTTTGACTAAGTAAGATGACTTTCCAGTGGTGGAGGAGCAGTTTGACACAATGGAGCGTAAAGGTATTCCTGGTTTGTGATGTTAAGGGAGACCGCACATGGACATTTAGCAGTTGTGAAGGGCAAGGTGCTTGGCCTCCCGTACGCTTACCAACTTCTTCGTGATAGGCTGCACAGTGATCTGGACAACTGCTGTCGGACCTCGCTGAAATGTTTTGTAGTCGTCTTGGTTCTCCAGCACTTTGTACGCGTTGTCCATGTACTGTTGCTTGTCAATGACGAAAAATTGGCTTGTCAGAGGTCTTGATGATGACATCTTTAGATGATGACGTCTGTCAGTGCCTTCGGAGACTGAATCTCCTGCGATGAGATATTCGGCTCAGTGCGTGAGTTCTTGGGTGCAGACAGCCTGTTATGTCTGAGTGTCCGCAGCTTGTCATCGTTAGCTGCATCTACACCTTCACGCAGATGAGTTAACCTGTTCAAATGCGTTGATATTAAAACACATACTTTTACCTGAAGTGTCCCCTTAATTATGCCACGTTCCGGATTCTAAATAAGCTTTTGAATTGTGTTTTATGGCTCACCATAAAATTATGCTGCAGTCAACAGTGTGTGGTATGATATTCAACCTGATTATCGGTGGAATATGAAGCCTGACGTTGTCGCCGCCAGGTGGTGTTGGACGAGTCGGAGCGGAAGCAGGTAGAGCACCTGATGACGGCGAACGCGCTGGACGACAAATGGATGGCATCGCAGCCGATGATGGTGCCGGACGTGGCCGGCGGCCTGGCGGGGGAGTCGGCGCCACGGCCGGCACCGGCGGACCCGGGCGCTGCCGCCGCCGCCGCCATCCTGATGGAGCCGCGTGGCGTCAGTCCCCGCGGGCAGTGACGGGATGGCTCGAACGGAAATGGCAAGGAGACCCGGTCAGAGATGGTGGTGACATGTGGCTAAGCGTCTCCTGTTGTGTTCTGCGCGGTCCCCTGCCGGAGGAGGCCGTCTGAGAACCCTAAATGAGCAAGCGAGGGTATCGGTCGTGTGGGGGCGGGGAATGAGGGCTCATGTGAAGAGCGGAGCTGAGTCTCACACCACCGCACCCGCCGTCGTGCTTTTTCACGAATAGTTCTACCTTAAGTATGGTGTAAATTATGGTGACAATGGTAAACGCTAAGCCGAGGCTACACGATTGTACGCACCGTTGTGTACTGCGATACTTTTGTTCGCAGGCCACGCCGGACTTTTACCGCTTTATTAAGGAACTGCAGACGTTCGCGCGTGCACTACCACGATAGTTCGCGGAGCTGGACCGCAGCGTGGCGACACCTGGCCGTTGTTTTGATTGCCGCGCCGAACGTCGCAGTACAGCCCGGCCAGCCGGGGGGATGTAGGGTGCTGCAGACCGGCTGGTCGGTGCCGCCACTCTCTGCTCTCTGACTCACGCCGTAGGGGCAGTCGCCACATGGGCTCCGCTCGCTGCCGACCACTTGTGCTTGTGCGTCGTGTGGTGCGGAAATACACGTAGCCACTCCGCGTTAGTGCCGCTTCCGTGGTGGCGAACTGGGCCAGACGAAAGACATGCTTCAGCCGCATAAACTAAGTGTTAAGAATATTGTGACGATTTAAGAATGATACTGGAATGATATCGATTGTAATTATTTACGCTCACTACCCCCGTGTGTGGCATACGGGTTCTACGACGCACGCAGCTGTTGAGGCTTTATGGCGTTGCCTGCCGCTCACCCTGGCAGAAAGTACGGGCACCGCGGGGAATCGGACTCCGTGCCTCTGGTCTCCCAGACGCGCAGCATAACCGCCACACTACCTGGATCGTGGATCGTACGTTCACACAGCGATAAGAAGCACAATTTATCACCATGGAGCTCCGTTGCCCGAACAGCCAGGCATTTGTGTACGAGCTTTTTCATCAGGCCTGTCTGTCATGGTATAATATCGCGGCAACCCCACGGCTATTTCCGATAATGTGAAACGGTATAAAATGAAAACGTCTAGCGCCTAATATTGGATAATAACGTACTTGACGCGATGTCACTAGAACGCTGTCCGTTATAACGAACTCCGAGCGCGCGTGCCGAAATGCATCCTTCACCGCGCCAGCTTGCGAAGCAGCGGTAATATTCTCAAGGCTCCGTCTCGTCTTTACTAGTTTGTCAGCACATGACTCACAAAACGCATCATTTAACGCTCGCTTTAAATGTGCGTTTAATCAAATGATTTTTGAGGCCACCGTACTCTGCAAGCCTGGAAGTCAAAATTATACCATATTTAATTCTTCATGTTCCACAATCTTGGGCCCACGAAGATGGACCACGCCCGACTTACAGGCTACATTTTCGAACTCGCTGCTTGGTAACTGCGAGTCAAAGAGCTGCTGGAAAATATAACTAGACGGTCTGTACGCCGGTGAGGTCAGCGATTTAGTTAGCCATCAGCTACGATTTTAATAAAACGCCTGAGGTGGGCAGTGCGGCACGAGAACATCGAATCATGTATCTGTTTCATACCACGTGACACATAAGGTCAAATGACGGAGAGCTTCATGCAACTCACGTTGCTGACTGATTTGTGGTATGCATTAGAAACGTAGCGCACGAACTAGCGTCCTACATTGCTCAAATGTTGCCGAACACTTTCGGATTTTAGCCATCAGACTTTTAACGCCGTCAAGAAATCATGACCTCTCTAGATCTAGGTGGAAGGTAAAATTCATTGTCAGATAGCCCATATCGCCTAATGAAAGTTTAACATTAGCGGGCAGTGCGCTTGGATGCGCACGCTTACGCGGTTAAGAATGTTTCGATGCTTGAAAATCCAAGATCGGCGGGTCAGTTGTGGTCGATTTGGGCTCCCGTCATTTTACCTTGAGTTTAGCATTGAAGCTGGATCTTGATACGTCAGAACGTTTACAGCGATGCTAGTTTATGTGCTGAGAAAAGTTACGATGCTCGAAGGGAATGTTTCACATGTAAGGCTTTAAGTGGAAGCGACTACTCTAAATAACAAAATCCCTGTACGCGTCATGAAACGTCTGTATGACGCCGAGGCTCTGCCAAACTAGCTGTGCAGAATCTCCAGCCTAGCACTCACTCGTAGCACCTTATTTAAATGGGAAGGCCGTGGGGCCGTGGTGGTGCTCAGGTGTTGCCGTGCCCGGTTATGGCGTGCTTAAAGAAAGTGTTCCACATTTGAAGGCATTAAAGCAGTCATTAGGCATGGTGGTATAAGCTCACTTATTACTATTGGTGCCTTCTATTTCGTAAATATGCTGCTCAATGTGTCATTGGTTGATTACGTCATCATACCATGCACAACATTCATTGAGAACCAACTAACGGCCGTTGTATCTGAAAACCGTGTTCACGAACGCCAGACATAACGATTCGACGATTATCTTTTTCTTGGATTTGATCGCCGCATGATCAATGGAACGGCAACATTTAAATAGCGTTATTATGGCGCCATGGATGCCTGGGTGACCTTGAAATAGTCTGTACATCTTCGCGTTTAGCTCAGAAACCAGGGGGGAGGGGGTTTAGGCCTTTAGAAGAGCATCTCTGAGAATTGCATAGGACGATCTCCAAGATGGCTATTTCCGTTCAAAACCTCTTACAGATGTGGAGCACTCCCGCTGAGTCATTCGGCTGCAGGTCTTACGTAAAAGCTAGCAGGGATGTCCAACCTCTTGTATTATGCAACACAAAACGTGATTCCTGATTGAAGATACGGCCCCGTTATCCTCTTTCCTCTTGTGGGATGAAGCAGGCTTCATCCCACACCCCCACAACGTCCCGCTTGACCGCGGCAGGCGGCACGCGCCAGGCACGAGTGGACCGAGGGGGGGGGGGGGGGGCGGCCGTCAGGGAAAGAGGGAGGTAGAGGGCGCTCGTCACTTCAGAAAAGGCCACTGTGCCTGTGTCGCTGCATGCCATCCCATGGTCCAAGGACACTTTTTGCAGTGCCAGTTAGTCTCAGCGGTTTGTGAGGTGAAGCTTCTCGTTGGCCACCTGCTGCACTTAGCCGTATTCCGCGGCCCTGGCCATTTTGGCCGGTAGACCAGCGGATAAACGGGGCCAGCCATGAAAATCAACATAGCGGCGGCGCGACGCTGCCGTTGGCTGCACGCCGGTGCGCGTGGCGCTCCTCTCCCGGGCTCGCGGGCAGCCACGCAGCATGGGATGCCGACCGGCACTGCTGGAGCTGTGCCAGCGTCGCGTGAAGGCGTCTGTGGTGTCACCCAGTCCGGATCAGCCAGTGAGCGAGCGCCTATGAGCACGGCAGACTCAGTCTATGCACGCCGCACCCTGGCGCCCACCCCCGCCTGTCCGATGGGGCCGTTTCAGACGGTCCCGGGGCGCCCGAGATCGGCCGCCCCGCCGGTTCCTCAAGAGCAGACACCGGCGCGAACACACCTCACCAGCTTTATTTAGCATTTAGCTAGAATGGCATTTGAGGAATACCGCGTCAGCGACATTACAACACGCAACTTTTAGATGACTGCGACTGATGGAATGCATCCATTGTATTATTGCCGCAGACAAAAACAAGGTTAACCACTCAACTTACTTTAGAACGGCCAGTTCTCCGCATGAATGAAATATGAGTATTTTGAAGGCAAGGGAACTGGCGCACACGTCACCACTACAGAACATGGGACCGCAATATTGTGCACTTTGCCTAAAGCCAGCACAACACACTGATTCGCAAAAACACAACAGGAAGCAATCCCGATGATTTGCAACTTGCGATAGTTGCTCTTTTACTACACAAGCAACACCATGGACAATGACATAGTTCAAGAAAGAACTACTGGCAGAAGAATGACAACGAAGTACACCAGAAATGCAAGTTGCAGTTTGCGCACATCCAACACAACACACGGGTCCTGCCACTGGGCTCAGTTCCTTCACAGGAAACGATAATCTAACAATGAAAGCATTAATATGCTAGTCAATGAAAGCCTTACTGAAAGTGTTGATGTGCGAGTGTTGATGTTGATAGACTTGTCTGGTGCCAAGGGAGAGGTGAGTGCGTGGTGGATAGGGGCGGAGGCGGTACATGAAACGGATAGGTGGAAAAAGTCATGAGCTCTACCGGTCTTGCTGCGGGAGAGAGCGGCAAAACCGAAAGCGAGAGAGGTCCAGTACACGGACTAAACACCGAGCGCGTGAGGCTCCTGACACGCGATTGGGTGGAGGGTCGAATTGATCCCCCCAAAGGTTTTTCCAGAATGGTTTTCGTAAGAAGCGGCGTATCCGCGCCAAATTTTGCATAGCTGTAGACAATTGAATAGCAGATCGTTTGACATCAAAAATTTAGATGTACCTTTTAAGGTCGCTGACCTGTGGCAGGTCAAAGTCAGGCCATGGTTTCAGCGAAGGCAATTTCTAGGGAATCGTCCAATCTGATACAATAACGGAGTGTTTGACGAAGCCATACATTTCCGAGATGCTTTCTTAGGCACCACAAATATTGAATGAGCAAATTACGTTGACCTAAGGTCAGGTATGAAGGTCAAACCAAGGTGACAACCAAACTGATTTATTATTATAGGGCTTGCTGTATGGGATAGCTTGTGGTGCTCATTTCGAATTTATTGACGGCATAAACCGCATTATACATCTTCCACTTACTTCTAAGAGGTCAAAAAAGGTCATTGACCTAAGATGACCTGGTTGGACAATTTATTTTAGGAACTTACTGCCTAGCGTAATTTTTGTCGTTTATTCAAATGCAAAACTCAGAGCAGTCTTGTATGATTTTGGTCACCATGACCTTTTAAGGGTCAAGCAATGACACTGACCTCAACTTGGCTTGTGAACTTTTGCTTCGAAACAGTTGCCTAGGTTCTGGGGGCACTTGGAGACCAACCTAGAATTTGACCTTTTTGACCTTATTTAACTTGAAGGTCATGACTTAGGAAGCTCAAACTTTGACCCAGGTGAGTTCACGTACAGGTCAAGACACGCTGTAAATTTGATGTCTCCAGCTTTCTTAGTTCCCGAGATCCTAGCCGGGGTCAACTTGACCCCCCACCCGAGCGAAGGGTATCTAGCCGGCCACCCGAGCGCGTGTTAACCCGGCATGGACCGGGCTACTTAGCGGCATGCCACGGCCCGAAGGGAGTAGATTTAACCCCTCCCTGCTCCCCGCTTATCTCAAGACCGGCTGGGACGAATTTAAAAAATAAAACTGTAAATGGCACAACAACGTGCGGTCTTAGACCACACGACAAATTTAAGTTTAACTGTGTATGGAGGTCACGGGTCAAATCATATTTTTTTGTCCTATCTATCCGCTTCCATAAGGCATTTCACTTCGAAGCATATTCCGCGGTGTGAGATCATAGCGCCCTGATCAAACATGCTACATATGAAGGTATCCAGTATTACGCGCGCCATGCCAGGCCTAGAATGAAGATCACGTGTCGTGGAAATGAGAGCTGAAATCTTGCTCTGTATATACACTTAGGTATATTTTTTCGTTAGATTCGAACCACCTAAACGCAAAGTGGAAG